TGGCGCTTTGATTGCCAGGCATCGAGATGTAAAGATCGACTATGTTCGGCAGTCAGATACGCTTGAGCATAGTAGCCCGTAATTCATGACTCACGTCCATTGAAAGAGATGACTTCACCCCTTGGCGTGCCGGTGAAAGCCAATATAGACATGTCGGCGATAAACCCCCTTGCGGCCGCAAAGAAGGATATAAGTCCAAGCAGAGTGCATAAGAAATTGTTGGCAGGCATCATGTCCGAACGACCGCCTCTAATCCTTGATACCAGGAGAGAAAAAATCACAGCTGGAATAATCAGATCAAGAGAATCGAGGCCGCAGTCGCAATGTTCAGGCGATAAGTACTTGAGCGAAACAATTTAAGTTGCCTTCCTAGGCATTGTCCCTGCACCTATATCCAGGTATTTTAGTCATCAGTTACATAACCCCCGAGTAGGCATAATGCGGCATTCTATAGCCACTTTGACTCTAGCACTGGTCATCAACGCTGCTAAATGAGGATTTAAGCTTTCTTGGTCGCGACAAGGGGTTGTTGGCAGTGGTCTTGCACCTGCAGCAAGAGGGGGAAAAGCTTTGACGCGGTCTATTTTGATGTTTTATCTGATCATGTCTGGGACGAAACTATACCGAAGATGACCGAGAGAGTCTTAGCCATAGCCCCACACACTAGTATGCAACGTCAACCAATCGGCCAGTCGGCCAGTGACCATAAACAGTGAGTCGTTTCGTTCTCGTCTCAGCCGAAGCTTGATGTAGTGGCACGACACTTTGTTGTTTAGGTGCGAGTGCCTCGCCCGGCTGCTCATGTTGGAATGGCTGTTTTCATCTAGTAACGTGATGCCTGCGGTGAGCCAAGGTGAGCAGGGTGAGTAGGGTGGTAGGTAAGCTAGGCATGTTAATGCATGCGTTGGCGCTAAAAGCTAATCGTTCACTGAAATCAGAGTTGGGTCACAACACTTCTACAACCAAAATCCTGGGAGTAGTAATCTGCGCGCCCCCTCCCCTAAGTCCAAGGAGTAGTAAACCCTAGGAATGGTAAATGGGCCCCTACTGGAAACCCCCTAACCCCAAGAGCAGTGAACTGGCCCCCCTCCCCAATCCTAGGAACTGTTAAGATATGCGTACTTCAGTGGTGTGCCTAAAACTGTGTATTGTGAGTTCTGCTAGTAGTGATCTATCATCTTATATAACTAAAGGTCAGTTAATCGGGTGATTAGAAGTGCACACCTAGGAGCTTTAGGGGTATTGAGGGCTGCTCTGGGTGATAGAAAGGATGGCAAAATGGATGGCTAAGGGGGTGGTAAAAGGGATGGCTAAAGAGATGATAAGGGGCTGGGAATAGCCTCACATGGCCTTGGGGCGAGGCCTCTGAGGGAAAGGGGGGATACTGAGGGAGCACTAGAGAATCACCAGGGGGGTAGCTGTTGTTTTTGTTTTGCCTGCAAATAGTGTTACTGTTGGAACAGCATTGCAACACAATTCGCACGCATGAGGCAGTAGCCCAAAAGTCTATATAACTGGCCACGTTTCCAGCCAGCCAGACCACTAGACTTAGAGAGTTCATGCCTTTTACAACCACGTCTTGCTGATGCATCAACCCATCTATAGTCCTTCCGACAGTTACTCTTCTTGCCACATCGGTGAAGTTCTAACCAGGACGACGGGGTATAAGGACTATAGGAAGGCAAGGGGTTGCCAAACAGGAACGTCAGAGGATGAGCAGGGCCGTATTAGGGTTGCAAATAGCTTCACTTTGAGCGAGGAAGCCTTAGGGTGAGGCTTCAGGGGGGGGCTATGTCAGGTGACCCAAATGACTAAGAGGGTTACTAGGAGGTCAGCTCTCCTTGACCCTCTCACTCATATACCACAACCTCCTTATATATGTTGTTGAGAAGTCTCGCGCTGGCGGCGGCGGCAAGAATGGGATCAAAATACTAAGAAGAGAAAGAGTAAATGGTTAAGAATATCAATCTGGCGAATTAATGCTTGCTGATACATTTAGAAGAAAAGAGGTTTCTTTCATTTATTTTACGCATCGCTTTTCCACTGTTCGTTACCCCATATTGAGCGCCAGTCTGGGTTGCCACACTGAGACATAACTGTTGTCACTTTTTCAGTTGTCAATCAATAATTAGTAGCTTGTGTTTCGTTCCTTATCACAACAGCTAACACTTGTTACTTTAGCCATCGCAACAACCGTCATGGAGACATCCATTACACGTCAGTTCTAAATAACTTGTTCGTTGCAACTATCGTCTCAATGTCCATAATAATTCTGCCGCCCGATTGTCCATCGTAACAGAAGTTGTCATGGTGTCCATCATACGTCAGCTGCCAATGCTTCGTCATATCTACCTATAGTTATGGTGTCTGTCATAACGGCTGTTGCCACGTGCCTATCATAATATCCGTCAGGTCGCTCTTCGCCGCAACGGCTATGGTCACATTGTTCACCATAACAGCCGTCGTCGTGTTGCCTCGACTGCCATAACAGCTGTTGAACGTAACATGGCTGACGCAGCTGTCTCCACGAGGTCACGAGCAATTCACAGTCTCTCTAGATTGGCTGCAAGCGGCCACGCCGATCCCCAATCCCTGATGCCGGCTCCAAAGTCGAGATGCAGATGGTCAACAGGCCCGATGCATAGGAGCTGTGAGTAGCCGTGTTTTCACGACGCGCACAAGCTCTTACGCCGTTGTATCGTTGTATTGCAGCCATCATGATGTGTCATAGCTTTTCCAATAAACACAACCGTTGAAACCTAACCGCAGCGCTGCTTCTGTGGGAGTACTGTACGTACATGGCCGCTGGAGACAGACATTCTATCAAACATACAACCTTAGTCAGGCTACTCCCTCGGGGGACTTATCTCGCCATCTCCCAGTGAGGAGAGGTCAAGTTGGGTGAGTAACGCATACGGTTAAAAATACCCAAATCACGGATAGGAAATCCATATAGATATCGATAGGTATTTCAACCCTAGTAACCCATGACCGAAGCAGCATAACCACGAAGAATTGCTCAATTTGTGGTGGGTTTCGACTAGGGAAGCCTTAAGATATACAACCTGATTCTATAGCGGATTCCCATCGTCAAATACTGCTACTAAAATAACAAATCCTCTTATTCGGTATATGTTCCGAGGCGCGCTGCGTGTCTTAGTCCAGGAGCAGCCTCTCCAGCGGCGAGCAGTAGAGGTCGCTGATGATGGTGAGCTTGAGGGGGCTTCGCGTATCGTAGTCCCTCTTGAGCGGTGATTACCACCATGCTCACAGAGCCGAGTCGATTTTCGTAGTGCGCGCTCTTCCCGAACAGCTCGTCGCGGCGTCGGACGTGTCAAGGACGACGAACGGCACGATCCCGAAGAGATTCGTCGTCACGACCAGCCCGTTTGCCTCGATCTACGATATGAAGCAAGATTAATTAAGTACCGTCTTCGATTTGGCTGCTATGCGGGTCGTATGGGCAATGACCCGGCATGGTGGCTGTAGTAACGCAAACCCAATCCGCAGCATAATATCAAATCAGCTAGCTTCAATAGATCGGGGGTTTAATTCAATACATCTTTATGTCCCAATGGGAGCACCTGCAGCGTCACAGGTCTAAAGGTATGTGGGAACTTAGTTCTAGGCTCCTGGGGAGCACACCTACAATATATATAAGTCTTCTCCTCCCTTTTAGTAGGAGGCCAGGATGGAATGTTTTGTCACCAGCATATCTACATTTGACCACATGTCTCCCTCTTGCCCGCACCAGTCCCTGTCACGCAGGGGAACTACGTGCATAAAATTATCCATCCCGCCACTTCCCATACACCAGAAGGCCTCACTTCCTTCTCCTTTACATCTCCTTTTCGAACCTAAAAGTTCCGACTCGCTACAGTTGATTCACGCGCATGTACCTGAAGCTCGATTAGCTATGGTGGAAGAACACCAGGTTTACAATCCATCTTGCAATCATCCGAAGTGTCCCACAGAGAACACAGGCATTAATAGTCACCAGATGCCTAGTGGGATCAAATGTATTATCTATAATATTGGTCAAAGCTGTCTACCGTAGGTGTATTAATGCATAGTAGAGGGAGACTTTGGTCCCTATGAAAAGAAGAAAGTATCTAGGGGTCTACATATCTTTGTAGTACCTAATGGAACCTGGAGTGATTTCAGAGCTATGAAAATGAATCTAGTATAACCTATTGTTTACTAGCCTTAGGTACAGCTTATCCTGTTCGCCCAAAGCACCTAGACTCCTGGCTAGGAGAAGGGGAGAAGGGAGTGAAAGGCACACCCATCCTTATAACCTCCAGTTAAAACAAAAGGGTGCAAGTTTATATATCAAGAGATTGAGCAATCAATCAAGTAATCAATAGAACGTATTTTTCACAAGCCACTGTTGGTCGGATATGTCTGTAGACAAAGAACCATTTTTCATGTACTCATTTACGTAGCTCCTGTGTACATATGTAGTCAACCTCATCAGAGACTTCGTCCTCGAGGAAGGTCAAACCTTTCTAGACTACAGTTTCTAAGGCCTAAATATTATTACGCCATTGTTCATTGCGCGTTATATAGTTTTATTCCGCGGTGCTTACTTGTTTTCCTTCATTCTATCTCTGTCTCTTCATGTCGTTGCGGTATTTGCTTAGCAGCTCCGACAACCGATTTGCCCTGTCTGTATTTTAGCACTCTATGACGTTGTCACTCCGCAGACATCTGGCCGTAAGTTAGACATTCTGTAAATTTACTCCCCTTGCCCAGAGTTCAAGATTAATGTCTAGTCAGGAAAGTACAGTCGAGTTGGAACTTTATGAGAGTTTTCAAGCTACTCAGTCAAGTCTTGACAATGGCGGATAATAGATATTAGTCCGTAAGAGGAAGACATCAAGACTGTTTCGATGTTTTGCATCCAAGGCGGCTTGTGGCCCCTTCTATTAACAAAGCACGACACCGCTGTAAGGTTCCAAATGTATCGGGTTGACAAAACATGATTGAAACAGAAAATGCTTTATGTTCTTTGCTGGCTGTAAGGAAAACCAGCGGCTGGTATATATGTGACTAGGAACACGAAGAAGATAACTAAAACTAAGAAATACAGCTTGCGGTAAATAGACAAGGAACCTAATTTCGATTTGCCTGGAAATCCCCATGACTTATGAAGCAGCCCATATGTTCTGGCCCAGACAATAACTCCAAACTGTCAACGCAGGGATTATCCAGAGAGAGCCAACAGGAAACACGCGTTTCAACGAGCATTTCAACTGCTGCCGTCTTTTCCGTCTCAGCCCCGACTTCCGACACCGCCTTATCTCGCGCCCTGAATTTTGGCCCATTATTTCCCTCAGACCGTTCTATCACTAGAAAATCTACAGTAACTTATATTGCCAATACGACACTCCCAACCAAGACTGTCGTATATAAGAGCCATTTTTCTATGCCAAGCCCGCCGTTACAGCCACTGCCCACACGAGCAAGAAGGGTGTTCCCTAAGTCGGTGATGCTGCTTTCGAAGTCGGTATAGGTTGATGCGTTCCAGGCGGCGCCCTGTGCCCCTGGAACGGCCTCGTCGCCCGTGAAGGCGATGTATAGAACATCGTTCTCGTCGTGTCCCGCGTTGCCATTTATGACGTCGCCGTAACAAGCGGTAGCCAGGGAAATGGAAGCCTCACCAACCATAGCTTGAGGTCCATCGTCCCCGTTTGTGTCTCCCCAGATCCCGTAGACCTAAGTGCGGCGTCGTCAGATTTGATTCGTTTTTCACGTGCCGCATGTAGTTCAGGGCACACATACCACTTGATCGTTACATATCACGGCCATCACACTGAGCGGCTTAACGCCATGTTGGCTCGGGTTAAAGGTAGGCCATCCGCTTTTTGTCCCTTCGTTGCCGAAAACGACATAAGGATGCAGCGAGGCGTTGAGGTCCTGTGGACCTGTGTTATATCCTCTCAACACGTTGCGGAAAGTCGTCTCGGATTGAGTATCGGTGGAGCTACCGCAACGTCCATCGCCTCCGCCCTGCGCCCCATCGCAGTCTACGTCCATGTTGGCAAGGTTGCCCCCCTTTCCTTGAAGATAGATGATTTTGTACTTGTCTACAAAGTCCCCGCAGTAGACGAAGTCTAAGGTTTTCTTTGTCAGTATCTTGCCAATCACGCATTGGATTGGATGAGGCATGTAAATACCTCCGCTGTCCCCCTCAACGCTGTGAAACCCGGTTGAGAGAGCATGTTTGCACTTGCCCCGGACTCGGATGAAGCTATAGAAATTCTTCACATCCCTCGGTATCTCGATAGTCAATGTCTGGGTAGCTAGAAGCGCCAGAAGGACGATGAGGGCGGTAAGAGATATCATGTTAAGTAGAAATAAGTCCTGGAATGAGAGAAAAACAGAAAATGTTGTAAGACGGGACGTTCGGGGGGCCGCCAGCAAAGTACCTGTGTCAAACCGCGTCTTGGCAATCACGTGATGCGCATCGGGCTCATCTGAGCACCATTAATTAGTCGATGCACAACCCTCACTTTGAGACGAACATGAGTGCGCCTAAAGTCTCGGTCGAGACTCAAAACAGTGCTGCTGCTGAAGCGAGAAAAGCAATGATGAGACGGCGCGCCTTTGTGGTAATTGGGCTCTACTGACGCAGCGATTCCCTTGGAACACGTCGTCCGAGTCAGTGTTGGTGTGCTGCAACATTGATCGAACTGAGGCGCCATCAAACAGCGAATTGATCCACGCAAGGATGTCTTCATTCGCCGCCCTACAACATTCGATCTTTGTAAACACAATTTGATTACTAGATTTGGTGGAAGCGGGAGTGGCGCCGCCGCGCCGCTGACTCGACCATCGCGCCGTGCGAAAAGGAGTTATGAGTCGGTCCGATTTCAGCTTGGAAAGCAATTTTACTGACGGCACGTCTTTCCGCTTCATGTCAAGAAACTGGTTTCGGATAACTTTCCCATTCGACATTCAAAACAATATCTGGGGAAACTGACAGAACTGTTTTGAGCCCGAAAAGGGACAAAGACTGTACGTATCTCGACATGGACAGCAACTGGCGTGTTCCACATAAAGTTTCATTAGTCTCACTTGTTGCCAGTGGGTCTTTGTATTCATCCATATGGAGATAGGTTTAATGTAAAGACCAATTCCGGGCAGAAGTGTTGAACTCCAACCAATTTGGCCCATTGCCTATAACAGTCTTCAGGTTCAAAAGTATTATTACTGCCTATGGAGTCTTCGAAAAGGTAATTACCTGGACTTTCGAATATTCACACCATGAATATCCTGAAAATTGCACAAGATTCAGAGTCTTTGATTTGTTTCCGGGAGCTGCGGCTTCGAGAATGGTTGCGAGGTTGTTTCTATATGCAGCATATGAGCCGCCAGACAGACAAACATAGGCTTCACATAAGTAGCCCGTCCACTTCAGCTGACGACAGCCGCAGTTGCTCCAGCTGACGCTGCGCTTGCCGCACTAGATGTGGTGGCCGCAAGATACCATAGTGAGAACCCGGAAATCACAGCCGCTGTCTCCCAGTCCTCGCTGAGCGTTCCCGTCAGCCCGGTGCCCAAGAATGCAAACTTATAAGTCTTGGTCATGCTCCACGATGTGCTACGTGCCAGAACAGCAACAACCTCTTTGCCGTCGCTGGAGTAGCCGAAGGATTTTGGCCCGAGGAAGTACAGCTGCTTCCATTTCCACTGGCCGTAGCAGTTAAATGTTGGAGGAAACCTGGCGGTCGCGGCCACTAATGATGTAGAGTCCGTCGTCATATGATGGAACCCCGAGATTTGATCTGCCGGCATGTTTTGTTCACGATCGATATATGCATCATGGTCGTAGTTGGGTACTTCAAATGATTTTCCGGTGCTGCTGTCCATATCGAATATACATAATGCTAACTGCGTTCAATTTCGACGAGAAATGAGAAGCAGCTTGAAGTACTGGTCAACAATTACACAACTCTCGAGTACGAAGGATAAAATCTTGAAGGATTTAATAAAAATCGGTTGAAGAGGCAGAGAACCATGACAGGAAAAAGGCGCTGAAATTAATCGTGGCTATACAGCATCAATAGGATCGCCCGGTTGATATATACCTATCACCCCAGGTGACTTGTGAGATGGATACCGTAAAATTCCTCGACGACTAGGTATCGCTGGTTAGTAGCACTTTAGCCCTGACATTTTTCTCAAGCTAGCGGAAGCCTGGTGTCTTTCCGTAATAGGAAAATGTAAGTGTTTGTCTCCTGATTTTGACGCTTACGGCGGATGCTGCGGCTAGCCTTTCGATTGCCGGAACGACTATTACGTAGCGGGACAGATTGCGGTTTCTCTCTTTCTTTCATTTTCCCCCGCGATTATTATGAACAGCCTGACCTTACAAAGATGTGATCAGAATTATTGAGCAGCAGGCTGGCAACAAGCGCTATCTGCCACGTATAAGAGAAACCTCCTCCTCGCCTGAGGACGGGATCACTAGATACCCAGTGACACGGGCGGGCTTGTCTTGATACTATCAGCAGCGGATACAGGTGTGAACTCTTCGGCATGTCGGTTAAGACATGAATGAAGCTGAGCGAACGGCGTAGGCTCTGACTCATCGTTGAATATCCGTCGCAATCAAAGACCAGACCTGCGCCTGTATATGCTCAGCTGCGAAGTTAAAGGACCGCAAGGTTCAAGGTTATTGCAAAAGTCCCGGCGGTGCCATTTACAGGCGCTTCCGGGTATGAGGGTTCAGAAAATTCTTGACAGGTTCGAGCGATGTGCGCGCCATCTCGTCGGATGAACTTTAAAGTCTTGTAAGTATTCTATTGATGACTCAAGCCAACGACATAGCCTCCAGCTGGAAAGCATTCGGCTTGTCTTTGATGGATCCTCTATCATGATGTAGCGGCAATGTGCTGGGCACGGGATCTAACGACTACTTGTGCTGATAGACAGTCCTTACGTATTATAGAGTAAGACCATCTTGGGGATGGCGTCCCTCTATTCAGAGTTTTGGTTCCACACAACAGAACTTAGTGCATTCTCAAGACTCAGCAGGCGAAGGTTCTCATTGATAGAGCACAGCCTGTTAACGTAATATGTACCGGTCGGGGTCAATCTGAGCGCTGAGGTAATCTGGGCCTGAGAAAGGCCATAAACTTTGGGGCTGAGGAACAAGCCGAAAGATGTATGGAGGCGTATGTGCGGGGAACATCACCTATGAGATCCAGCTGTTCGACGACATGAGCTGGCGCTGGAATTGTCTACCAGCAAACAAACGTGCGTTTCCAGTATGAGGTCTGTTGGCTTAGGTTGCCCTCTTTGCGTTTCCAGATCAAATCATTGCACTTAGAGGTCCCGATAGAGAAGGACGAAGCCGGTTGGAGTCTCTAGGAGTGTTTTGCAGGTGCGTGTCAAATCTGTCTCTGAACAGTTAACCCTGCGCAACTTGGCTGGGGGGGGGGGGGGACGGGGGGTTCAAGTTCGTGATGCAAGTCACAGGTGATAGCAAAATACTACTCACTGCACTTCCCGGTGGTGACGTTTACATCTTTACTAATCCACAACGGCATACTGCTGTGGCTTAGTATCGAATTCATAGAAACTCTAGCGAGGAGGCGCTGCGGGGATTCAAGGTTCAAACCGGACCGCCACGCCGCCTGAACTGTTCCTTCATAACGTTCGACGGCTTGTCTTTAACCGAAGTCGGACACGTGAGGGGAGCAATTTCCCGACGTGGGTGGGTGGTCGAGAATCGGATCCTTCGGATGAGGTTCCCTAGGCTTGCCGCTTCCTTCGACGAAGAGATAATTGCTCCTCCGGACCGTCATCTACATGTATAAGGCACAAGCGTTACCTAGTCCCAGCAACCAAGAACAATACATCCTACAAGTGGTAATATGCTGGTCTGTGAGACGTGGTAGAGCCGAAGCTGTAGCAAGGCGTTGAACTCTCGACTTCAATGACGACTTGACTACAGTATAAGGCAAACTTGCTGGTGCCGACTGCATCATAAGCCATGGCAACTCCTTGACAAGATACATGAGTCGTTCATCATCGACCAGGAAGTTATAACGATATTCACAATATCCTCTACCACACTCCTCTCATAGCCTCTGCTATGTCAAGTGCTGCCAATGAAACTATTAAAAGCACTTTCGTAAGCCTAGTGACTCTTCTGTTTCTTTTTTAGCTAGAAGGATATGTGGGATCACGGATGCCACACGCCGATATAAGCCTGTATCTCCGGGAAATGCAGGAATTACACCTCCATGTCTTCTGCGTTGTATTGTTGGATAGATCAGACGGTGGAAGCCAAGTCAGCTGCTTCGCCACACACTTCGTCAACCTGCTTCTTCTATGTTTATTAAAAGACTTCCTCTTGTGTCACATATGCTTACACCTCGGTATTCCGCAGTGCCAAACAACCAACAGCCGGTGCGGCTGAATACATCACCCTTCGCATTGACCAATGACAAATATTGTGAACTAAAATCATAATACACTGGCAGAGTCTTTGGATTCTTTGTGAGGACTAAGTAAAGTTGGGTATTACTCAATCGTTTATGCGATGAGCAGAACACCTCTTTTTAGGGTCACCACGGGTTGGAAGCGTGGAAGACTGCCACTTATAAATACCAAGCCCATCTCTTGATGTCCCGTTAATCTCCTTCTTCATCACATCCAACACAATCCAAAGTGATCCGGCCATCTCTTCAGCTTATTCATCAACACTTTCTATCTTTCCAAGTTTCTACTTATTTTCCTACTCTTTTTCAACCTGCAAACATGCATATCCCATCATTCTGTCAGGCTGCCGCCGTTGGCATGGCTTTCTATGCTATGGCCGCTGTAGCTGCTCCCGTGAATGAGCCTGATGCCACGGGCATTGCAAAGGTTGGACTCCTTTTCAGCCTTTCCAACGTTGAGATTCTAAACTGACCCCGTACAGCGCATTGCCGGAACATCTGTGAGCAACACCTGGCATTTTGAAAATTGCTAAATGTTTTTTTGTTTCACTCATCAGTTGAGTGTTCCTTGAGTTGATTGCTGACAAGTGCATGCTTGCAACAGCCCAATGTGGACAGCATGCCGGTATGCAATGCCCGTGCCTGAAGTTCTCCTCTTGAAGGCCATTACTAACTCGGTGATGCAAGGACATGAGCAACGCCGCTCCTAAGAGCGGTGATAAGGACGCGCTTTTGACCACGAGTGACAAGAACAATGGGGTTACTCAGGACCGCAGCCGCAAGTGCCGACGCGACGTGGATGGCAAACGAAGGGACTGTGACTACGATTACTACGATTACTACGGCGACGACGACGATTATGGACGCCGAGGCAGAGGCCGCGGCGGACGGCACGGTGACCGTGACGGAGACTACTACAACCGCGCCGTCCAGAACGAAGCGGACAAGGACGGCAAAGATCTCGGCAAGCGCCGTGACGACGATGGCCCCGACGGTGGTGGACGCCGAGGAGGCAGAGGCCGGGGAAGAGGCCGAGGAGGCAGAGGACGCGGTGGCCGTGGCGGTGATCGTGGCGGAGACTACGACGACCGCGCCGTCCAAAACGAAGCGAACAAGGACGCCAAAGATCTCGGCAAGCGCGGTTACGGCGGTGATTACCACGGCTATCATGGCGATGACTCGTACGGCCATCACGGCTATGATTCGTACGGCCACCATGGTTATGATTCGTACGGCAATTACGGCAATTACGGCGAGCACGGCTATCATCGCAACTGATACGACATCCATGACAGAGGAAGACGAGGAGGCGAGTGCGGCGACAAGGGGGGGAGAAGACGGAGGGAGGGATGGGCCCCGGCTCTAGGAGGAGGACTCTTAGAATTGTCAAGGCCGCGGATGGACCGGGAACAACGAGAAATTCGGAACGCGTATTGATTCTTTTCTACTTTCATTTTGTCGCCAAACACTCCGGGTTGGAGCATCGGTAGGGCTTGAAGGAAGTTCGGCGACGGAGAAAAAAAACGTGTTTCTTGGAGACCGAACTATTTTGTACACGCTGAGATAACTGCATCATTTAAGGTGATTACATTCTTTCTACCACTATCTCCAAAACGATGATGAAGCTCTGTGAGCACCATGGCGACATGCGGCACTGGCGTTCAGTTCACACCCTACGAGGACCAGAGAGATCTAAGTCGGTCAAGAGGTAACATTGCCGGGAGGCGGTGCCCATAAGACGATGGTGCAGTCAAAGGCTCTCGGCCGGTTGAGTGAAGTCGCGAGTGGCAAAGCCGCATCGAAATGCATGCTCAAAGAACATACCAATAGTGTACGGAGTATAGAGCAGCCAATGTTTACAATCCCGGCCGGTATCGAGATCGACCCGGCTCGGAGAGCGGTTCCCGACCCACCGCAACGTCAGTCGGGGGCGATCGTCCGAAGATGGGTACACCATCAGCATGATATCACCTCCCGTCGTGATCAAACCATAAAAGCAACGACGCAGAGCCTTAGCTATAGCAGAACGGAAGCCATAGTAAAAGATTCAAAAAGCAACAACAGGACCAGGTCAATATTTACAAACCTTCCCAAAGAAAAGAACCCCCCCCCCCCTATAACGCCGGCTCGAGGTCCAGTCTCAGCAGCCCCTTGACGTTCCTCCAGGCGATCCCCTCCCACTCGGCCTCGCTGACGAGCCCGCTCCCCCTCAGCTCGTCCATGAAGCGCCTGCCCTCGCGGTTGGCGGAGAAGGGGTAGTCGACGCTGAAGACGAGCCTCTCGGGCCTCGTCTCGCGCAGCAGGCAGGCCATCGGCGCCAGCGAGAACATGCCGCTCGTCGTCACCCACACGTTGGCGTCCCAGACGTCGCGCAGGCGGCGGCGGCGGCGGGGCGGCCAGTCGGCCGAGAAGCGGACGACGCGGTCGAGCATGAACGGGAGCATCTCCCCCATGTGGCCGAGGACGAGCTGGAGGCGCGGGAAGCGGTCGAAGACGCCGGCGGCGAAGAGGCGGAGGAGGTGCAGGCCCGTGCGGGAGTGCCAGCCCCAGGCCCAGGCGCCGAGGGCGGCGGCGACGGGCGGGCCGTAGGCGCCTGCGCCGTCGAAGTTGAGCCTGGACTCGTCGGCGGGCGGGTAGGCCGGGTGCAGGTAGACGGGGACGGCGAGGTCCTCGGCGGCGGCCCAGAGGGGGTCGAAGCGCGGCGCGTCGAAGAAGGTGCCGTCGTCGAGGTGGTTCTGCACCAGGGCGCCGACGAAGCCGAGGCGGCGCACGGCGCGGCGCAGCTCCTCGGCGGCGGCGGCCGGGTCCTCCATCGGCAGGAGGGCGAAGGCGGCGTACCGGTCCGGGTGGCGGGCGATCCTGGAGTGCAGGTCGTCGTTGATGGCGGCGCAGCGCTCGGCCCCGCCGACGCTCATGGGCAGGTGGGAGAGGACCGTCACGGCCACCGAGTCCTTGGCCATCTCCTGCAGCCTCGCCGGGCCGACGTCGGCCAGCTTGTCCAGCACGGCGGGCCCGAACGTCCTTTTGATGACGTCCCTGGGCCCGCCCGGCCCGTCGTCGAGCAGCGGCGATATGTAGTGTTCCTCGATTGCGATGAGAGGCGCCATTCCCGGTGAGACTGTCGATGCTTGTGTTTGGTGACCCAAGTGATCACCGGATGGGCGGGGTGTGTGTGTGTGTGTGTGTGTGTGGGAGCGGGATCGTGGTGGACGCTTCACTGATTCTCGGTAAAGCAGGATCACATGTAGCAGTTGTGTCGAGCGTATCAACTTCATCGCACCTCGAGAAGCCAATGATGATGCCATTGAGGGGACGCGCTAAGCCGGGTCGTCCGAAGGCGAATCCTCGATTGGCTGCGACACCAGCATCTGAGCACAATGAACCGACGCATGCGGAAAGACGGGCATACAGACGGTGACACGACGCAGCCGTGCGACTGTCCACCGGGCCCGTCGCAAGACGCAGGCCATGTTTGCAAACCTATCTTCCACCTCCTCTGTGCGGGCTTTGCTTGTCCGTGGTGCCGGCAGCTGGGCCTCGACTCATCTGACCGCGCGCAGCGAGAGCATCATGGAACAGACAGCACGAGCGGCTCTCGTGAACGTCACACACAGATAGATGCACGCGGTAAATGGCTCGGCAGACTTGGCCCGGCCTAGTTGACGGCGTGATGAAAGCTTCTCCCCCCCAACAACGGGAACCAAGGATCGGAAACCCCGCGAAACCGACATATCGGCCGCAGCTAAGAATGCCCGCTCGTCGCGTGCGCGGTCCAGGGGCGCGTCGAGACGGCCCCCGGCGCCAAGAGCAAACACGGGATCGAGAACCGGAGAGGGGGGGGGCCGGGTCTCGTTTTATGGAGATTCACCACAGACTGTCGATATCACGAGTCAAGGAAACGCAGAGTGCGCAAGCGGGATGCAACCGCGTGGCGACAGGGAACAGGGAAGGGAACAGTAAACCGAGAGAAAGAAAAGAAAAAAAAAAGAGAGAAAAAGAAGGAAAAAAGGAAAAAAGTCCCGGTATTGCCGACGGGGAACCGGCACCGACGATGGTTCATCTCCGAGTGTATGCAGACGGGACGCCGGCACACTCTTACCCGGGCGGGCAGTAAATTACCTACCTTGCAAGATCAAAGTTTCGCAGGCAAACCCAGGAAGGGGGCGGGTGAAAGACGCCCAATCATGACGAAGCGACGACATGCGGAATCTTTCTCTCTCTCTCTCTCTCTCCTCTCCCCCAAAAGCTGGGGCAGGGGGGCGAGAGGGATCATCTCGAAATGCGACCGACAGAAAAGCCTATCGGGCGGATTTGCTCAGGACGAAATGACACACAGGAAAGACAAAAAAGAACATGGCATGGTTGCACACACACACACCTCCCGCACCTCCGCGGCCCGCCCCGATCTCGAGGAAGAGAGAGAGAGAGTAAAAAAATCTGCAACGGTTTCCACAATAAGACGTAATAGAAACCGGGGGGGAGCAGGCGGAGGACCAAGATTTTTGCACGCCTTGGCTTGGTTGGATGGATGGATGGAAAAAGGGGGAGACGAGCGAGCTTGGGGCAAAAAAGAAGAAGAGGGAAGATAAGAAAAAAGGAAAAAACACCATCATCTCGCTACCGTCTTTCCCATCATCAGACTCGGACAACGCAGCGGGAACCGTCCGACAACAGACTCTCCCCTCGAGGGATCACGGTTCCTAGGGTCCCAAAGAGGCGCATTTCTCGCGCGGCCGCTCGGCTTAGCGCGGTCCGGACGACGGTTGGTCATTCGAGGGGGGCGTCGTCGTAGGGCTGAAAGGACGATGGAAAAGATGGGAAACACACACACACACACACACACACACACACGCAGGAGACTTGGACCGAGGAGGACGGCGAACAAGCTTCCACCAAGCCCGGTTGTACGGAGAGCTTGGCCTCGAGAAAACTTGTGACGCCGTCTCAGACCGTCTAGGCCGTCCGGACCAGGGAGGGTGGCGGCAGCCGGTAAGTGAAGGAGAAAATAAATAAATAAATTAAAAAACCGGGAAAAGAGATTTCAAGAATACCGGCATCTCTCTCTGCTCGGGCCAAGCTCGGTGACAAGCGGGTGGCGCGACGGTGGTGCGTCAACGACGTGTGGGAGGCTCTTTTTTTTTTATTTCTTTTTTATTTCTTTTTATTTCTTCTCTTTTTTTCTCTCTTCAACCTCTTCCTCGTCGATCTCTCCCCGCTGGTTCGCCCTGTGTACTACCACTTACCACTGTCTGTCTGTCTGTCTGTCTGTCCGTCTATCAGCCAGTCCTGTTCAGTTACAAACTGCATATAAGCAGCAGCCAGAGCATAACTTGCTCGCCATGCCATGACATACGCTTACTGCCATATGTCCAAAAAAGACAAAATAAAAACCGCCTCGATCCCATCCCACACGCTGCGCGTTTTCTCGCCCCCAAAGTGTTCTGCCCCCACCCCCAAAATGGGGAATATATCGAGAGACGAGAGGCTCGGCTGAACTCCATCCATCACCCCTGCTACAACGCCACCGGTACCCGCGTGCCCGGGCGACCTCCGAAGAGGGTCGTCGCCGCCGCAACACGCTACCTGCACACTAGGTAACCAGGGAGGACCATCGACGGCCAAACATGTCCAAGAGGGTCTCGAGCCGCGGCTCGTTGTCCCGAGCGCTCGCGTGTGCCTATCTCCGTCCCACTCCCACTTCTCGAGATTTTCTTCCTCCCCTCGACCCCCCCCCGGTGGCCAACAAACCCGTCGGCCGGCTCGCGATGTGAGTCGACGCGGAGTGGAACCGGTTGTGTAAGACTCTTGAGAGAGAGAGAGAGAGAGAGAGAGAGAGAGAGAAAGGGCCCGGTATATTCTATTTAATCATGCCACGGGCTTTTTCCTTTCGTCTGGGTCCTCCCCTCTCTTCTGTCCCAGTCCTCGTCCTCTCCCCGTCGCCTTCGTCCTTGCCTTCACGGTCAGGCTTCTCCTCCCCCACCCCTGGTCGTTCGCAACAAAAGCCTAATCGTCGCGCGTGCGCATGTGTGTGTGTGTGTGTGTGTGTGTGTATGTGTGTTGTTTGCTTGTGTGAATCCATCCATCCCTGTGAACCCAACCAGCCGTCACCGCCATCATGTTCAGCTCCAAGGAGAAGACGCCCCAGTCGAGCGAGGGCGAGGTTACGCCTAGCAACGGCTCCAAGACCGACCTCGAGACCGGCGAGACCGACGGCCTTCACCGCACCCTCCACAGTCGTCACCTGCAGTTCCTCGCCATTGGTATGTCACTGCCGACCCCTTCCCTTCGTCCTCTTCGTCCTCTTCGGCTACGTACGTACGTCATTGTTCTGACCATCACAGGCGGCACCATCGGCACCGGCCTCTTCCTCGGCAGCGGCAAGGCTATCGCGACCTCGGGCCCCGTCGGCGCCCTCGTCGCCTTCATCTTCGTCGGCTCCATCGTCTTCTCCGTCATGACGGCCCTCTGCGAGATGGCCACCTACATCCCCGTCCCCGGCGCCTTCACCTCGTACGCCTCCCGCTTCATCGACCCCACCCTCGGCTTCACCATGGGCTGGATGTACTGGTTCAGCTGGTCCATCACCTTCGCCCTCGAGCTCACCGCCGCCGGCGTCATCATCCAGTACTGGAACGCCGACCTCAGCATCGCCATCTTCATCTCCGTCTTCTGGGCCGTCTTCACCGCCCTCAACTTCATGCCCATCCGCATGTTCGGCGAGGTCGAGATGTGGTTCGCCAGCATCAAGGTCGTCACCATCGTCGGCTTCATCGTCTTCGCCGTCTGCATCAACGCCGGCGTCGGCCAGCAGGGCTACCTCGGCTTCACTTACTGGGCCGACCCGGGCGCCTTCAACGCCGCCATCGTCGAGGGCTCCACCGGCAAGTTCATCGGCTTCTGGTCCGTCCTCATCACCGCCGGCTTCAGCTACCAGGGCGCCGAGCTCGTCGGCATCGGCGCCGGCGAGACCAAGGACCCCGAGAAGAGCGTGCCCAGCGCCGTCCGCTGGACCTTCTGGGGCATCTTCGGCCTGTTCGTCGCCACCGTCTTCTTTGTCGGCCTCCTCGTCCCCTCCGACGACCCGTCCCTCCTGCTCGACTCCCAGGACGCGTCGGCCTCGCCCCTCGTCATCGCCGCCAACCTGGCGGGCGTCAGGGTGCTCCCCGACATCATCAACGCCGTGCTCCTGACGGCCGTCCTCTCGGCCGCCAACTCCAACGTCTACTCGGGATCCCGCATCCTCGTCTCTCTCGCCAACGAGAGGTGCGCGCCCCAGTTCATGACGTGGACCAACAAGTTCGGCACCCCCTACATGGCCGTCGCCACCACGTCGGCCGTCGGCCTGCTGGCCTACATGAACCTGTCGTCCAACGGCGGCGTCGTCTTCGACTGGCTCCTCAACGTCACGGCCGTCGCCGGCTTCATCAGCTGGTCGTGCATCAACGTCTGCCACCTGCGCTTCATGGCCGCCCTCGAGGCCCAGAACATCCCGCGCAGCACCCTGCCGTACACGGCGCCCCTGCAGCCGTACCTGTCCTGGTACGGCCTGTTCTTCAACGTGCTCATCATTCTGACAAACGGCTTCGCCGTCTTCATCGAGTGGAGCACCAGCGACTTCTTTACCGCCTACGTCAGTGTCATTCTGTTCGTCGTCCTGTTGATCGGTCACAAGCTCTTCAACCGCACCAGGCCCCTCAAGGCCATCGAGGCCGATGTGACGACGGGCACTCTGCGAGCGACGTCATGATGTGTACGAAGAAAATGATGGAGAAGAAGAGAAAGAACGAGGAAGGGAAGGAAAAAAAAAACCAAAGAGTGGCGACTGTGACGGGCGACGGGTGAAGAAGTAATCTGATGTAATACTAGTTAGGATAGCTGTGATGAAGATACCCATGAGTTCAACGGTTCGGTCGTGCGTCCTGAAGCGATGGATATTCCCAACATTGTACAGCCATGGCAGGCAACGGCGAGAATCACGACGAGACAATGGTATACAGCCCCACAGCGCCGCCGAGGCCGAGGGCGATGCTCCTCCCCAGGTTATACAGCCCCCACCGGTCGACCAGCGACTTGGCGCCCTCCTGCTCCTCGTGGGTCATTCCGACGGCCATGATGCCCATGTCCCTCGTCCCCTCGGCCCTCCTCAGCAGCTCCCTGTTGATGCCGACCATGAGGAACTTGGTCCACGGCACGATGGCGAAGCAGAGGGCGCCGGCGACCGCCAGCAGCCTCGACTTGCCGGAGGCGCCAGGCAGGTGGTGGTGATGCGCAGCGGTCTGGTAGGCCATGTACCAGTAGCTCAGGGCGCAGGTGAGAATCGGCGGCGGGAAGACGCGGCTGGTGCGCGCGAACATGCTGGACCACTGGCGCAGCATGAGCGGCGTCGGCGACTCGAGCAGGCGGGGCACGACGAAGACGGAGAGGCTCAGGTTCAGCCCGGCAAGCGCCGTGTTGACGAAGACGGTCGAGGACTGGATGCCGCGGAGGGGGTTCGGCTGGGAAGACATGGCGGGGCTGTATGCGTCTTTGGTGGTGATGGTGGTCTGGTAGCGTGCGTATCGTAAGTATCGGTGGCAGCCGGTCGCGCAGGTTGGAGGTTATGAAGAGCAATCAAGTCGTTGTCGTTGAGAGGCGGCAGAGAAGGGGAGGGAGAGAGTGTGATCAATAAGTCAGTCAGTCAGTGTAGGGGGTGGGACGTCGAGACCAAGAATATACTGAAGCTCGAGAGGAAAGAAAGTTCGGCAGCTTGGGCGGGAAGCTGCGGGGTGGCGTGGGTGTGTGTAAGTGTACGTACGGAGTACACACGGGTAGGATGTGACAGGCAGCGGGCGGCAGGCAGCAGGCGGCAGGCGACAGGGGCAGTAAGCGGCAGGTGGGGGTGTCTGACACACCACCTATGTATCCGTACTCCGTAGGTATCTGTACCTATATTCCTTCGGGCGCGATCGGACCTCATTAACCCCGAGGAGGATCCCCATCCACTTTTACCCCACACTTTTAGAGATACATGACAATATACATTATTTTGGAATACTATTTTATCAGCAACTACCACTAATTTCAACATTATCACTAACATTATCATTAAATTCACAATGTCATCTAATTCAGATACCTCTATTAATAGCACTATATACGTAGAGGCTGTACTAGAGGACCTTGCTATCACTTGCCTAGATGAGCCTAGCAAGCTTCTAGGAGACCTACAAGGCTGCTTAGACTACAATGTACTGTTGTATAAAGGTAGAGATTAATGGTACCTTTGGTATAGGCAAAACGCCATATGAATAGAAGTACCTTAAAACTATTGGCTTTTGGCGTTAATTGCTGTGGTCTGATTTGCTCCTACCCCTCATCGGGGTTGGTGAGGTCCGATCGCGCCCGAAGGGATACGGGGTAGTCACCCGCGACAAGAATTTACTACTGGTCCCAAATCCGTATCGAGTGTGGGGAGTGATCGGTGGCCGCTTTAACCCGAGCCGAAGCTGAGCACAGGTGAGCAGAGGGTGAGCGTAAGCTGGTCCACCTTTACCCCGGTTGCACCTCAGAGAAAGGGGCGTCGGCCAACGCTGCTCTTTCTATCATGGAAACCTGCTTCCTGATGCGCGCTAAACCCGTCCTCAACCTGCATGGCCGGCTGTGTATCCGTAGATACCATCTCTATCATGAAGATGGCGTTATTTCGAACAAGGTCCAAGCTTTTATTACACACACACAAGTCATTCTGCCATCAACTCACAGCTGCGGAGGAAGCAACACAGGCAGCGTATCGGCGCCATCAAGCAGATGGTCCCAGGACAGGAGGCGGATCAATATCGGTAAAATGGCACACGCCCTTCCATCACCATTCTTTAATCCTTAGTGCCAAAGGTCAAGGTTTTGCCCGACACATGTAGGGACTCCCGCAGGCAGTGCCCGTGGGCCGTGGTCATCTCATACACAGATTGTCTAATACCCTTTTTTACTTTGTCTCCCATTAGATCGATATAATTTAAGTTTCGCCATGTACTTCTTGGCCGCTCTAAATGCAGCCCTCCTGGCGTCACACATCGTCGGACCAGCCCTTCTCTTCTTGTTGTTCTTCTTGTCGTTTTTTTGCTTTCCTTCGTACCATAGGTCTGCGATCTATATCAGAGTTAGTACACATCCTGCAGTGACCTCACATGGGGTTTTGGACGCGTACCGTGCCTTGCTCTGCCGAGCAAGGCCTGAACTGTTTCCACGGGTCCTCCCACCATGCCTTATGGTTTGGAGGAAAGCCGGCAAGGCCATACTGTGCGCCGCCAGTCCGGAATCCGCTGTATCGTATTTCATTATAATCCGGGTTCTTGATTGGCAATAGCCAGCTAAAGCTTTGAAGGTTACTTCTGTCGATCTTGCGCCAGGAGACTATCTGGTCCCACTTGACACCTCCTAAGGCTGCATACTCATCTTCTTCAAAGTAAACGTTGTATTTGCCCAGCGTCTTCGTAACATCAATCATGTTGGGAGTCGTTTTGACCCTGTAGATCCATGTCGTTTCCTGCTGTCGCGAGAAGAAGGCATGACCAAGGGCCAAGAGGAACGATGAAGTGAATGAAGTGTAGCCGTCATCATCTCGGGTTGAACCAAGGCCTATGCGGTTTCCCTCCTCGTCATACTCCTCGGGGATGTCAACATGGTTCCAAAGGCTAATGCTGGGGGCTACCTCTCCGACTGCAGTGAGACCTTTGGGCACGAAGCCGCCGGCTGCCTTGATCTCTTGAGGAGACCTGCCGGCACCGCGCCAGACGAATTTGGGATCGCTTCTTAGGAATGCAGCCTCTCCCGAAAAGACACAAAGAGAGACCAGGTTGAACAAGACGAACAGATTTTGTCGCATACCCATTTTCGATAGAACTGGTGATTCGGAGGAAAAACGCTGGAGAAACAAAGTGAGAGCTGGGGCTGTCGCAGCCAGCGTCTTCTTGTGGCATTTTGTGCTTCCAGAGTCACGGAGCAGTCGAAATTTACAGCGATTGTAGTTTAAATTTAGCTTTAGCAAAAGTTAGTTTTAACACTTGGCACGCCGATCTTCAGGCATATCTAGGAAAAGAATTGTAAAAACACAGGCGCTTTTTACTATGAGCCGCAGTTATGGCGGCTTAGCCGTAGGTGGAGATGTGATTTTAGATAATCTAGCGGAGATGAAATAAATATAACGTAGGTTATATTGATTCATTACATTATATCATGCATAAAATAAAAATAAAAACCCCCATTCATAGAAAAGCACACTTAAATCGGAATTAGCATTGAGAGATCATTCACTAATTAGTCCAACTTCGCTGTTATTAATATAGCCCCCCTAGTAGCTGTTCAAGGTCTAATAGGGCAAATAGGCTGTAGAAGCTACCAAGCTAGGAGGGACGGTAGCAACACGAAGAGATGCATTAACAGTGTAACCAGCGACGTAAAAAGTGATGAAACGTATATGCAAGCAATTAAGAAAGTATGTAATACACGTTGTCATTAATCCTTGTTAATCACTGTTGCCCCCTTAATTTGTTAGGTCTGTAACCTAGGGGGTAAATACTGTTGAAGTGATGGTTCCAGTCATTCATGCGTACGGAGTATATTGCTTGCGTTGTCTCTACTATGCTCTGTTCTATGGGCATTTCCCATTTGACGGTATGCACGTGACATGGATTTCCCCTCTTTTGGGTGGAGAAATACGTCCCCAAAATGACTTTCCGTACCCGTTCAAAAGCACGTACCTCCTACCTACCTGTGCTAGGCAAATACGGAGTAGGTACGTACCTGTATACCTATCCACCCCACATGACGAGGATCCGTCACCATCACCATCACCATCATTACAGGGTGGCAGGGGGAAATAAAATACCCCAGTTATGTAATATCGCCGCACAGTCCAGCTAGCTAGGCTAGTAAACAGTACTGTAATGCCCGCTACTGAAATAAGTAGGGTGGTGAGTGTTAGAGTAAGATACCTAACAGGGGTAATTTTATTTCGGCCTGGTACCATAGTACTATTACACATCTCGTTTCGTAGACCTTAGTCATGTCATGTCTGTCTGATTTTCTCCATTTGTGTAGGTAGTTACTTACACCCATCAGGTTCCCGCACAACTCCGTCCGTCCGTCTCTGCCGGTAGGCGGTCCTGGGCAAGTTGTCCTCGACGACGCTTGCCACACTCACTGAACCGCCTCAACCCGGCAATCTCGTCGAGATGCCGCGTTTCCTGCGCAGAGACAACAACACGTTGGCCACCCTTCCTCGCCGCCCTCGACTTGCTAGTCCAACACCACTCAGACTTTTTTTCCCTTACACTCGAACAAAACACACAGCTCAGCCCCCTCCCTTGGAGGTGTTTGAAAGGTAAAAGAAGAATAGTAAAAATCCATATCCAACCACAACCACGACCGCTCGTTCCAGAGAGCCAACCAGAGACTGACCAGCCTCGATAACGGCGGCGGAGTCTTGGAGAAGATTCGAAAGTCCACGAGCGGTACCTTCTCAGCTGCCCCATCAGAGCTGAGACGTATGGCTGCGAGTCAACTCTGAACAGCCAGCCAGACCCAACAGCGGGCACGTACCGTACCGCCCGCATAAAAAAAGCGAAAAGAAGAACAAAAGGGAAAGAAGAAGAAAAACGCCATTGTCCACATTCATCTCATCCGAGCTAAATTAAATTCAAAACCCCTCCCCCACACCCCTTTCCTGGCGTGAGCAAACCACCCGAGACGAGAAGCTTTCCAGTTTCCGTCGGCCGATACCTGTGTCGATGCCGATGCCTATACCACAGAGGAAAGCTTGCTTGTCTTGTCGCTGGCGCATCGTCTGCATGTTCGTAAAACAAAATGATTCGTGACCTCCTCGAGGTCCAGGCGTACGTACTGATGATGTACACTGCGAGAGTCGCCGCCAGAGTCCTGCTTCATCATCCCAGTTCCTCGGCGACGACAACGTAAATAAATGACGGCATCCGCTCGACGCCGCCCTTCGATAAAATAATAATCGTGTGTCCCTGCTGGAACATATCGTAACGTCATTTTTGGAAAAACTTTTGGCATTCCCCCATCATGTGCGTAGGGGAGGGTATTCCGCTTGTTGCTTCCGTTTGTCGCAAGTTTCTCTTCTTCCTCGCCCCCTCCCCTTTCTTTTTGTTGTTCCCGGCTGAACTTCCTGCTTGCCGACCGTATATGCAGCCCCTTTTGGGTTTTCCTATCTCCTCTTCGTTGACGCGTGTTTCGAAAGATTGTCATGGCCGAGGGACGAGTCACAGTCGGGGAGAAGTCTATCCCGAGTGACAGATTCCCCAATGACCGCTTGCTTCTCTCTTTTGCCGACCGTCCCCCTTATGCCCATCTGTTGTTATCCAACTTACTCATGCGCAACCACGGACTTCTCGGCTCTGGCGCGCATATGAGTTGCGTGTGTCTCGAGGCATCGGGCCATCAGGTGAGTGACTGAAAGAGGTTAGCGAGGGGGTTGCCCTCATCGAGTCTTGCAACTGAATCGAGTACTGACCTGGCCACACCGCGGCTTTGTCGAGCATGTGAGCCGTGATGCGGAGGATCTTAGCCGCATAGCCCGCATGGTCGTCCATGTGCATTCTTGTGTCGACGCCTGCAACGTTGCCCTGGACAAGCTCAAAGTTCATCTTCAACTCCGCGGAAGCCAACACCTCTTGTACCTTTCCCAGCAGTTTCACGTCTTCCTCTTCCAACATCATGATGGCCGGGACCTGAGAGAGGTCCACGTCGTCTTGGCCCAGGATGCCAAGGTACCGACCGACTCGATCCTGTAGCGTCGCAACCCACTCGGCCAGGACCTGGGCACAGTCAAAAGCGCACATTGCTGACTGCAGAGGCAGCTCCCGGCTGGTAAAATCGGCAAAAGTGACGCCCAGCTTGTCCGACATGGCGAGCGAGTCAGCGGCGTAGAAGGCGGCCTTGCGGAGGTGCTTCTCTCTGCGGCATGAGGATTGGCTCGGCGCGGGCTGCGAGTGAGAGGGAAACTTGCCAGAAGGGAACTCTGGGGAGGAAGACTGCGTCGCCGGAGACTCGGCAAACACCGACGTCGAGACTGAGTTGTCCGAATTCTCGGTACCGGTCGACTCTGCGTTGGAAGCGGGCGAGTGTTCTGCGTGCTGGACCACCTCGGTACCGCGAGAGAGCTCCTCCGACACGGCGTCCCAGTCTCGTTGCCAAAACTTCTCCTTGGAGCGGGCAAGGTTCACAAAGAGCCGCACGTAGGCCAAGTCGAGCAGCGGGATGGCATCGGCAGACAGCGGTCCGAGGCCAAAGGGGTTCGGGCGCTCGAGGCTGTGGTTCGGGTTGCTTGCCCAGGCGGCCTGCCAGGCCTTCAGAGCAGGTTCGATGTGCCGGTGCATCTTCTCGGTTTCCTCGTTGGTCCAGACCTTGTTGTGATGGCGCTGGCGTGTCTCCCAAATGTAGTTGTGCAGCGCGTTGATCAGGATCAGACAACCAAACGTCGACGGCTTGAGGTCGCTCCTGTGGAGCTCGTCCAGGCCGCTGCCGCCGCTGCCGCCGCTGCCGCCGCTGCCGCCGCCGCCGCCGCCGCCCTGCGCGAATGCCTGGTGCCCGTTGCCGAAAGCAAGCTGCTGCTGCTGCTGCTGCTGCTGCTGCTGCTTCTGCTGCTTCTCATTCGACCTGAGCAGGTCGCCTAGCGCTTCGTGAAAGGTCATGCGGTTGTGGTTCGCGGCGCGGACTCCGCCCTTGGCAGCAAAGGCCGTGCTGCTCTCGGCGGCGAAGAAGTCCTCATCGGAAGGCAGGTCGAGCAGGATCTCGGAATTGGTCAGGGCCGGCGTGTGGTTGTACGCCACGACGAGGAGGCTCGAGAGGACAAAGACGACGTAGAGCGTGCGCTTGCGCTCCTCCATCGTCTTCCACCGGAGCCACTCCACCTGCTCATCGGAATCGGGCTGAAGGCTGCTCCACGTGGCATCGTCGTGCATGTGGGTGTCATGAGCATCGTTGGACTCGACGCGAATGGGGCGGAGGAGGTCGGCAGCTTGCGCAAGGCTGACGAGGGCAGCGCAGTGGGTTGAGGCGATGTCGCTTGCCGTCTTGTCGCCGCAGTTGTGGCCGTAGACGACGTTCAGAAGCATGGCCTGCACGAGCCAGACCGGGGTGTGGGTAGATGATTCCTGGCTGTTGTGGGCCGACGGCTCGGATGCCGGGGTTCTCCGTAAGTCGGCCTTCCTCACGTCGGCTTTCCGCCGTTCCTCAAGGTACAGTTGAATCATTTTCTTGGCCATCTCAAACAGTTCCCGGGATTGTACGTGGTCCATCTCGTACAAGGCGCCAATGGCAGACATGGAAAGGACGAGACACCCACTTCCACCAACGGTGTTGGGGCGGTTGGCAGCGGAGGGCGGCATCTCAAAAGTCAAAGTGGGAATGTGCAAAAACGGCAGATGAGGGTGGAAGTAACGAAGGTAAGCGCCAACATATCGTTGCAAGTCTTGAGTGCTAGGTAAATTCTTTACATGGTCTGGGACACTGTTGGCCGTGTTCTGAAAGCCCGGCGACAGCGGCGAGCTTGGGGTCGCGAATGAGTACCTCCGTCCTCCAAATGGAGAGCACTGCGAGAGGGCCCCGACTATGGCGCCTCGGGTCGCATCGGTAATGGTCGAGACGGGCGAGACGCCGTGGTTGCCGCCGTTCATGGACGACGGCGTCTCCGGACCTGCGTTGAAGCCGAGGGCGGCGTGGTTAAGGTTTTGCGTGTTGAGTCCGGAAACCATCGACGGACTGAGGGAGCTAAGAGAGGGAGGCGGCGTCGAGAAATAGGCATCGTTCATTTTCTGCGCAGCAGGTTGTGGTGAGACGGGTGCTCCGTTTAAGAGATCTGGGAAGACCGAACCATTTAGATCCATGGCAAACGGGTTTGGGACCTGGGGAGGACCCATCACGGCCGGTTGCCACATTGAGCTTGTTCCTGCGGGGGCAGGATGATTGGAGCCGTCCACCATGACATCGCTGATGCCGCTCTGGCTGGTGGTGCTAATGGCCGAAGGACTTGAGCCGTCCACGGCGTTGTCGGCGCCCTGGAAGGACATCTGGTGCTCGAAACCCGTCAGCCAGTCGAAGCTATCGTCCAGCTGCGTCGTCGAAAGGTCGCCGGCAAGCCCGTGCAGGAAGGGCGAGGGCTGGTCCATGGCCATGGACTGGGGCGAGTCATTGTAGTGGAGAGCGTTGGGGTTGATGGTGGAGCCGGGGCCGAACAGCAGGCCCTCAAAGTCAAAGTCTGGGTTGAAGACTGCCATGGGGGGAGCGGTCCGCAAGCCGCTAAAGTCCATGTGGTTGATGGTGTGCGTCTCGAGCTTGGGCAGCCCGTGAGACATGCCCCGATGGCCCATGGCGGCTGACATGCCGCCAAAGTCCAAGTTGTGCACGGGCAGCCCCGCGAGACTGGGGTGACGGCTGTGTGTGCCAGGTGGCATGCCCCGAGCTGCCTGGGCGTTGGCGGCGGCAATCATCTGCATCGCGCTCCCGTCGACGTGGCTGATGGTGTTGGCCCTCGGGCGCATCGAGGCAGCGGCGGCATTTGCAGCGGCGGCGGCATTGGGGCCGGCGACGCTGTTTTTGCGAGCGCGGGCCCCAGGAGCGGCACTGCTGGCGCTCTCACGGCGATTGCGGGGGCGGGAGGACGGAGTCGTGGTCTGATGCAGCTTCTGCTGGTGTCTCAGCAGCAGATCGCGACGAGCGAAGCATCTTGTGCATTCGGGGCATTCGAAGGGCTTCTCCTTGGTGTGGGAGCGCTCGTGGCGTTTCAGATGTTCCAATCGGGCAAAGGAGCGCTGACAAGTCGCGCACACATGGGGGCGGGGTTTGTCGGTCTTTGGGGGAGGGAAATTGGCAGGCGTCTTGGTGTTGACAGTAATCGTGGAAGCAGCTAGATGTGCGTGCAATTCCATATGTCAGCTCAGTTTCCAGGTCAGGGCGGCATGATTGATTTCTTGTTTTCACATCGTGGAAGAGAGGAAAGAAGAGAGACCCCCCGCATCCGCCATATAAATCAATAACCAACGTCGCCATCGTCGGCGGTGGGAAGGAGGACGCGAATTGAGGAGGGGGGGGGGGATGGGAGATATGCGCGGGTGGGAACAGGAGGGGCAGTTTTTTGGAGGGGTTGTGGGTGTGGGCAAGCAAGCAAGCAAGCTTTCAGGTGCGACTCATACCACTATCTTCGGTGGCCGGCGCCGTGCTGTTGGCGGCAGAAGCGGCAGCAGGAGCGGCGGGCGTCGTAGAGGAATTGGTCATGTTTGTGTTCTTTTCGGCCTTGACTTCGGTGTCGTTCATAGCCATCGTTGGCTGGTTTTCGTAATCGTCGTTCGTCGTGATCGTGAAAGGAACGAAGAAGGGGGGAGGGAAAGGAAGAGAAGGGGGGAAGGGTGGTTGGCAGAACAAGGCAAGTAAAGTGTGGTTGAGGAAAAAGGGTCTTGGTTGTCGCTTGGAGGGTTTGGTTTGGTTTAGGTGGGCGCAGCTCGACGGGCGGGCGGGCGGGCGGTCGGTCGGTCGGGAGAGTGCGCTACAGCGGGAAGCGAGAAAGTGTATGTAAGAAGAGTGTGTGAGGGATGACGGATGGCGGGGTGGATTTGTGGACAGAAGAGAAAGAGAGAGGGAGATCGGATAGGTCGGTCCAGATAGGTTGAGAGAGATAGAGCGAGAGGGAGAGAGAGAGAGAGAGAGAGAGGGTCCAGTCCCGGGTTAGGGAAGCGGCGTTTAGTAGATGGGAAAAGAGGACGAAGAAGATAGTGGTAGTAGGAGGGAAGCGCTGTGTCCGGGAGCCGAATGTCGCATGCTATTTTCCAAGTGATGGAAACCAAAGAAAACAATAATAGTATGGTTGAGAAACGAAGCAGTATATCCTCTTTGTCTTTTTTTTTTTTCTAGTTGGAGAGCTCACAGCGTTTTGTTTTGTTTTGTTTTCTTTCTTTCTCCGTCAAACAAGACAATCAATTCCCGCCTGTCGAAGCAGCTGCTTTGCTTGGAGAAGAAGAGAAGGAGGGAAAGGATGGGAGCAAGAGTCAGTGGTGGGAAGGGGAAGTTGGGGTACTTGTTAGGTAAAGTGCCATCCAAATCCAACCCAGCCTGGCGCAGGAAAGAGCGAGACGAAGAGATAGAGAGAGAGAGTTGGTGTGAGTGTGTGTGTGTGTGTGTGCGTGGTGTGTGGGTGCGTGTGTGTGTGTGTGTGGGCGGGTACCTAGTGCGAGGTACCTCAGAAAGATTTGGATGGGATGGTGTGGGATGGGATGGGATGGGAAGGGCAGGTACGTTAGGGAAGGTACCTCCGTGATTCGTGCACGGTGTATACTGTGCCTCAGACCGGGACATGGAAGGCAACGGTAGGCAAAGCAGCCCACACACAAAGTGGAAACAGATACAGAAACAGCAAGGCAGGCAGGCAGGCAGGCAGGCAGAGGTCAGGGTCCACGAGGTAGTTACGATGTACACTACTTAGTCCGTCGATGGTGGGATTGAGATGGCAAGATGGGGAATTGGATATATGGTACACGGAAATGGTACAGAAAAGAGCACATCCACCGGCACCGGTGCCAGCACCAACAAGAAACAGGTAATAGAACGGAAGGCAAGGTGCAAGGTGAGGCAAGTACAGCGTACCTACCTGTACGTATGTGTGCATGCGTGTGAGTGTGTGTGTGTGCGCGCAAAAGAGTGTGGGTACAGTGCAAAACACCGTATATCTTCTTGCCCAGCCCTGGGATGGCGGAGGTCAGGTGTACATGACCCCAGTGACCTGTGCACAGTGCGGCGGCTTGCCTTGCCCGAAAAGGCCAGGTACCTCCCTTAGTTGCGCGCTTTCCCTTCCTTGTATTCCCTGCTCTCTCTCTCTCTCTCTATGCCTACCTTGCTCTGCTAGCCTGCCAATGTCCGTCGTTAACCGGCCCCCAGCTTAGCCGACCTTGCCTTACCTTACCTCGGGTACCTGTGTCGTGGAGCTACCCTGATTTTGTTGAAAAGAAAAACCACGACGAAACTTGTCGGAAAGAACCATACCGACGGATGACTCCTTTACAAAGCTTAGAAGAAAAGAAAAGGGAAAAAAATTACCGGTAGAGGGGGGCGAGTTCTCGGCAACGTGATGCGATGTCAGGCCGCGAGATGCAGACATCAGGCACCGCATACTTAGCACCAACCGTGCTTACACTACCTACCTATCCGTACATGCCATGCCAATATCTTTGCTTGCCGCCTACGTCTCATGTATCCCCGAGAGGGAAGGAAATTGAAAAAAAGAAACAGGGGTCAGGCCGGTGGCCGGTGGCCGGGAAAGCAGGCTGTGACACGAGAGACCACTAAAACATTTGCGCGCGCGCGCAGTCTGATTGATGCTCACAGGCTCACCGAGTATCAAGTCATTTGACTTTCGCCTGTTCCCATCTCTCTCTCTCTCTCTGTCTCTCTTGTCTGGAATAACCCAACATACTTCCCTCCAATACCTCGCTCATCCCTGCCGCTGAACCCGGACCTGTTTTATTCCTGGCGTCATTTCCTCTTCCCTCGCCGAATGGCAATTCGCTCGCTTCCGTCTTGGATTATCTAGGCTACGCTGCTGCTATTATGAATACCGACCTACTCAGTATAGTACTCATGTACCCTACCGTATGCGTGCAGTCCCGGCAAAAGCTAGCTAGCTCCCAGAAAGAGGTTGGTCGGAAGGGGAGGGGGAGGTTAATGGTTCCAGAGAACAAGGGGGAGGCTGGCCTGGCGTCGAACCGTTACAGGCTGAAAGCAGCAGCAGCAACAGCACGCCGCCCTGCCCACTACCCACACACCACCTTGCCGCCGCGGAATCAGGCACAGAAAGCCTGAATCTTCGTAGCCATCTACTATACGCAGTAGTGTATAGTGCAAATGGGAGCAAAGACAAGGACAGGCACTCGGTCAAGCCTGCTCTCTCGCTCGCTCCCCCTGTTTCTTTCCCTCGCTCGCTCTCTGTATTCTGTCAGTCTACGTAGTCAGGTCCGCAGATCGTGTCCCGTGCGCGCAACGGTCTGTTCTCCCTCGGCCCGTCTTGGCTATGCTCATTCATACTTGCCTTGACAGACGGGTACCAACTCGCGATACCAATCCATCAACGGGACACGCCTACGGGGTGGGGGGGGGGGGCCTCGAGCCCGTCTCATTCATCCCCAGAGAGACAAGCCGCTTTGGTCTGCGCCGCCCACTACCATGTAGCTTATCGCATGGGTCACAGGTCGATTAAGAGATAGACGTGCGGCAGCTGTATCGAAGGGTGGTGGTCGGACAGCTCGGCACCAAGGCGGACTTGGATCAGATGCGTGAGCCATTCGAGAGCTTAACCTACCGACGCCAATGAGACAACGTGAGGTCGGGGGGTGGGCAAACCAACATAGCTGTACTTATGCAGGTGATGGGGGGAAACGGAAATCAGATGGACAGACTGACTTTTGCCCTCTGTAATCGGGTCGAAGCTGTTCCTATTAAAAGATGGCCAGCCCATCCTAGGCTTCTCACAACCGAGCTGCGCGCAGGCCTAGGTTATATACACACACAGTATGTGTGCAAGCATCGTATGACCGTAGATTTTCACCGCGATACCTGGGACCCTCGCCCGTTGCTTCTGCTGTCGTCGATGTGCCTGGATCTACCTGACTTGGCCTGGCCTGGCGACCGTCCGCCGCTCCAAGAGCGGCAGGACATGGTAGCCGTGGCCGCATCCACCGCCGCCGCCGCCGCCGCCGCCGCTGTCGCCCGGCCGTTTTCATAGGTTGCCCATCCAAGCCAAGTCGCCGCATAGACTTTTACCGCTGCCGCTGCCGTCGCCGCCGTGGAATGGCTCTCACAAATCACCTACGTACCGAGAGGCCGGCGTCGATTCACATACATGTCGTACCATGGTGATTCGTGTCTGTACCTCCAAGTCCGGGGCTTCATATCCAGTATTCACACGGCGCACAGAGTACACAGTACATGGTACGAGGCAGTGGAGAGAAGTAAAGTCGCCGGCGTCCAGTCGCATCGCTCGACAGGCCTGCCGGGCCTACCTGTCGTTGGCTCTTGCTCAGCGGGAGGGTGGATTGGATGGAGAGCATCCCGTGCCGGGTATTCCATGCCCCGGGGTTCTTCCAGAGGCAGGCCAGGCCTGGCTCGGGTCAGAGTCCCGCTGTGAAATTGGGTTTCCTACTGTTGCCCAGCGGGGACATGATCCGAAGCAAAGACGGTGTACGGAGTACACAGCATATGGTGGACGCAAAACCCTGTTAGGTAAGAGGTGGGGGATTGCGAAGGCAGACAAGCTAAACCCAAGCGTGAGTTGAGTGTCGCACCCTTATTTCGCTTGGCCTGGCGTGGCATGGCCAACACTCCTCCGTGGCATCTGCGAGAGCGCGCGCGTGTGTGTGTGCGTGTTTTGATTTTATTTTACTCTTTGTCATCTTTGCATGCTTGGTTCGGTCTGCTCGGCATTGACGAGTAGGATCGAGGCCGGGTGCGACAAAAACCAAGCCGGAGAGTAAGAAAATAAAATGAAAATATGAGAATATATAAAAAAGAATAAATTAAAAAAAAAAAAAAAGGAGGAAGAAGAAGAAGAACAAGAACAAGAAGAGGAGGAGGAGGAGGAAAAAGGAAGAAACATGTTGATGTAGCCGACCAGCAATCATTTTCAAGTAGAGCTTTCTCCCGTGTGCAGTTCCGTGGAATTGCGAAACACAAAAGCGACCAACTCCGTCCGTAGTCGCTCAGTGGAATTGGAACCGGCATGCTGATTATAGTTGCGGCCATTAGCTTCGACCAATGGAAATCATCTCCGAGGCATATAGAGACCGATAGCCGGAGTGACCCCTCCAATACCCCGTCTTCCTGGTGGTTGGAGGGGTACGAGGGGCTGGTAGGTCCTGGGGAGACCAAGGACCAGCAACAGCTCTGGCTGGGTGGCAGGGACAAAAGGAAACGGTCGTAAGGCGAGTGGCTGCGGCGGGCATTGCGTCTAGAGGGCAGCGAGTGGTGAGGCCCTCGGGTACGTCGGTACCGACTGACGCCGATCAGGGTTCTCCGTATCTATATCCCGTATCCGCACACGAAGCTAGCACCGAGCCCCTTTTGTGATTGGCCGCTATGCCTCGGGCCACGCGAAGGGTATACATGCTACGTATGTAGTGTCAGTAGTAGGTACTCTGTGAGGTCGGGTCGAACAGGTACCTCTGTCTCTTGTCGTTGTGGATGCAGGTGAGTCGTGTTCCATTGAATCTGTAGGCCGGGAGAGGTAACGTGTGTATGTCAGGTAAGGGTTTATTTGTCGCTGGCCAATCCGACCGCGGGCTTGACAGAACAGGCGCGCTGCGGTGCGGTACGGACGCTGGGCTTGGTGATTGGTGAGGTGAGTAGTGAGTGTATCATCGGAGCGGCGAGGTGAGGTCAGGCCAGTTGTGGTTCGTCACTCGTACGTCTCCGTACTGATGGCTAATGGCGAAGGCTGCGACTGGCAAGCTGCGGGTGACAGACGATGCTGTAGGTTCGTGGATAAGGGTTGCCGCGAACACGCTGGCTCTTGACGGAAGCCAAGACCAGGCTGGATATTGCCCGGCATCTGGACCCAGGCGATAGAAGCTGTCGTAAGGCAAAGTACGGATAGGTGGGTGTTGGTAGACCACAATAGGTAGTGTACAGGTATGCTGAGAGGCTGAAGCAGTAGCCGTTTCTCTTCCCTCGACAGTCAATGGGGCCACGGCCGGATTGCATGCGTCTGCTCGTTCATGTTTGCTGCACCAAGCCTGTTTCTGTTCGCATACATGATACATGACGCATATCGCAAGGGCATACAAAGTGTGCAGGAGGGAGAAGTGCATCAGCGCGTTGTCGGACATGTGCGAGGTACGTACTGCTTAGCAGATACCTACGTGCCTACCTATCTAGGTAGCGACTACCTACTCCGTACCTAGGTAGTCTGTTGGTAGGTAGGTATTCCAAAGCTACGTACTCCGTACTCCGTATCTGATGGTCCAGCGGGGATGTCGAACGAGCCCACCTTTTTGTTCCGGTGCGTGGCTCTGATTCGACAGAGACGGCGACTTCCAGCTTGATAATCACGCAGCAGATACAGGCGCTTGAGCTCTCTTTCTCTCTCTCTCTCTCTCTCTCTCTCTCTCTCTCTCTCAACCTGGCTCTCAACCTCGCTCTACCATCCTATCCGCGGTACGAGGCACACAGGCAAGTAAAGGATACACTACACGGCACTACTAGGAAGAGACGCTCTTACCTTGGCTTGGACAATTACAGTAGCGGCAGCCGGACCAGGGCGACAGTCGAGCAGACTACTCCGTAGACGACAGGCATAGCATGGGAACGCGCCATGGGTAGGTAGGTAGTTGAGCAAAGGTAGCAAAGGTAGCAAAAGTACCTAATCCAGGATGAGCTGATGGAATTGAAAAAAAAAAAGCCCGCCTCTGGGAGCAAGGGCGTTGTCGAAAGCTGCTTCCTGAGTGGACCACGGAAAGTGCTGCGAAGGCGGCGCCCTGCCTCATGCACCTTAGCGCGGCTGCATGAGTTAGCGTAGCGCACCTGGAAGCAAGCCTTAGCACTGTCATCTATCTGCCTTGGCTAGGTAAGGTGGCACCTTTACATACTACATCGTATGTCGTCGTGGCTTCGGTGGTGTTCGAGATGAAGGATGAAGACAAATGCTGCACATCGCAAGCAAAGAAAGACAAGGTGGATACCTATCGTGGATGGGACAGACGAGGTACGTACCGTGGCAACGAACACTAACCCACCCCCATGGCAGAGCACAGTGCGGAAGATCCACAGCGTGCCTTTCCTTCCCCTTCGCGCGCGCCCCACAACCTGGAGGAGGATGAACGAACAGGCAGGACCCCTGTTGCCTTAATGTTCTGGCCCTCTTTCTTGCCCATAGTAGTACATATCTGAGGTACTGAGGTACGTATCCAAGGCGCTCTTTCTCTATTTCTCTCTGTGATATTTCAATCCAAGAAGGTGCGGTACAGGGACTCTCTCTATCTACCTGCACGTCGTCTCCACACACCACACGCACAACACACAGTCCTCAATTCGAGCTATTTTCTTTTCTTTTCTTTTCTTTTTCCGCCCCCGTTGTATTCATTTTTAAAACTCATCACTATTAATTCCTCACTCTCTATAGCCTACCCACCCCGTCCTTCTCACACGGCCCATTTCTTCGATCCACATCTCCTGCCTCAGCCCCCTGTCGTTTCTCCATCATTCATCGACAATCGTCGCCACTAAACCACCACCGCCACCAGTTCTTCAACGCTGGGGCCAATCCCCAACTCGATGTAGCCCAGCGGCTCTTGGTCCACCAAAGGGCCATAGCTCGGCCCGGTCAAGAATAACATCTGACAGCAGCATGAGCATCATGATGAGCCTCTCTGCTCGGCGAGAGACGGATATCGGTCCTCTACGCAAAGCAAGCCCAGCCACGGACTTGGACCTGTATGTGCCTCCCGCGGCGGTGGTTTCACTACAGTGCAGTCAGCACACTACACCACACTACCTACAAACACATACACCAACACCTCCCTGTCCTGTCGAACCAGCTTTGCGTCTCACTGCCTTCCCGCCAACAGATGGATGGTCTGTATGCACGTGTGCTGCAACAATGGGCAGCCTGGCTCCGAACGCACAAGATCGCCGTCAAAGTTGTCTCCTTTTCTGATGGTGAAGACTGGCCATCACGTCGAGACCTGCAAGCTCACGTCACCATGCCCAGACCGAGGCCGGCGCGCACCATCGACAAGGGCGATGGCATCTCGTCACAATCATATTATTCAAGCCCCTACTATGCACACGGTCACGGCTTTGTCTCGCTATCAATGGGCACACTAGGGACGCGAGACATTAATGCCACTTGCTGTATCTCCGCTTGCCTGCAGATGTCCGCCCGTATCCGCCCGGCCGTCGCTGTGCGCCAATAGCACAGACGAGCGGACAGACAGATTAGACGCCTGTCCGGGGCTCGGGAGGGTCCTGACGGGACACAACCGGGCCCTTCATCGCAAGAATAAGAGTCACACGGGCTCTGACAGTGACAGGGCCCTTCCTGGTCGTACTCACGATCCAGATCCATTTGCTCCGCCAGCAGCTGGCTGCTGCGTCACAGCTTCGAATCCCTTCGCCCTAGTGTTTGCTTGCTTACACACTTACACTACCCAAGCCCTTTGCCGGCCGCTGCTGGCCGGCGGGCTTTTGAGGGGGTCATGCCTGTAACTCTCTTTGCCTTGCTTGGCGTTTACCAGTCTTCGACAATGTTCGGGACTGCACCGTCAGTTCATAGCTGCTCGGAAACACCTGAAATCACTGCACTCGTGACAGCGACGGACATCGGCCGCTCAACGCCCATCATCGCGTGTCGCGCTCCTCGGTCAAGCACAAAACCTCCGATCAGTGCTCTATTAATAACGATGCCAATATCAGAGCCACAGACAAGACCCATATCCGTACAGGCCCGGCGATCATATCCAGTCGCCCTGGCCCCGGAGACGCATCGGATGATGTATGTACCTCAGCGAGAGAGGCGATCCAAATCAGGTACTGCTATCGTCCCGCCTGCAATGTACACTACCTCTAACAGTGTTGGCCTCGTCAGATACTTACTGTGTCTTGTCGACAGGGGCTCGTGTGTTCCGACTGCACACCTTCACACGCTACTGTTACGTTGGCGGAGCTCTGATGTTGCAGGCCAGAACTAGCCAACGGGAAAGCCCAACGATCCCTACCTGCAAGTCACTGGGTAGCGAGGCTTGGCCACCGGCCTTCGTTGTTCGACAGCGAATCACTCATGTGGGTTTCTGTGGTCCCCCGGAAACCATCTCCTGTTAACGACAGGTCATGCCGGGAGGAAGCCCGTCCAGCACAGATCCGCTTCGGCCTTATCCACGCGCGCTATCCGATGGGGACTCGACGTTGACGATGCCCTTCAAGATCCATACCCGTCGAAACTCTCAGTCCATCGCCCTCTCTCGCCCTCTCTTGCTCTCTCTTTCTTGAGGCTCGCTTGCCACGAATGCATTGCCTGGACCAAAGGGCCCCGTTTCTCTGCGTTATCCAGCCCACAATCTTGAAACAACTCTTGCCGCCCACTCACGAATAGAATGCGGCTGGGGCAGCTCACGCCGGCGATGCCGCCCACAGGTTGACAGCACCCAGCGCTACCGATACGCTACCTCGACAGCTTGACTACCTACAGCGACGCCCGGACCGGGTCAAGGCACCTCACCGAGTCTAACGATATGGGGTATCAACGGCTTAACATGCCACCCCGGTTGTACACCCTCGTCTGTTGTCCTTGTGACCTCTTGTAACCCTTTGTTATGTCAGGGATATGAATATCGGCTTACCTAAGGACACACGCGGAACATTTCATCCATCCACGAACCAACATAGTTGCACGCGAACCGTTTGAGCTGGCCCAGCTGCATACCTATCTTTTTGCTTATTTCGAAACGTTTTCGTGGCTGAGGTCACGGGACATGCCTCCCCATGCTCTTTCCCAGACACCGGCGCCGATTGAATGCCGGGTTCAGGCCGCTTCGCGAGAAGACGGTGTGCAATGTCTTATTGTTCTCTCGGTGGCGGCATAGATTGCCTTGGCTGGCCTGGCTCCACATCCCACACGCACAGCGGTGACACCTTCATCGGGGCATCCTACACAGCACCAGGAACAGGTACGGTTGGGATACCCTTACACAGTATTAGCCCGTTGGGCCCAGATGCCACACCTCGGGGAGAGGGTGCACCCATCACAGTACAAATAAATTTCCTGGCTGCATACTGGGTGGTCAATCAGCCGCCCTAACTCCCCTGTTAAGCTGTGCGGGTACAGTAGGCGGTTGAAGTAAAGGGTTTCTCGCTATCGATATTGATGCGCTACCCTCTTACTTCGCATCAGCAGAAGCTTTTCCATATTTCCGCTTCCAGACTAACATTGGGAGATTGATCTGGCTAGCTGGCCAAGGAGCAGTTTAACGACGACAACCAGGATGCAGTGGTGTGCGCCCGTTCACCTCGGCACAAGGTCTCGACGATATCTTGCGAGGCAGCTTGCGGAAGCTCCGCCCACGAAACGCCGTAAGCTTGCCTGATAGTGGACGTTTTCTTGATTGCTTTCAAACCTTGGGAGAGGCTTATAAGCCATGTTCCACTTCCTTAAATGCCACAAGACAACATGATTTTTTTTTTATCTTCTCGGCAGCTAGATGCATTCGGCCCAAACCCTCGCGGCCCTTCCATCCCAGTCCTAGGCCGGCCTGCTGTGGGAGCTGTCGATTGCTCGATTGGAGCTTATTTGGCACACGGATGGATGACGGGGCTCCGGCAGAAGTAGCTTCGTCGATTTACCTCCCTCGATGGCATGTACAACATCTTCGCTGCTCGGCACTGTCACCTTACTACTACGTATAGTACGTGTTTCCGTACTGGGATTGCTTCTCCAACTTTCCCCAAATTTTGTCTCGTCAACGTTGGACGCTGCACCTCATCCTAGGCGCAAGCCGAGGACGCAACAGCTTGCTGCAACCTTACCCCGGAGGCGATGAAAGACAGCTCACCTCCGCATCGGGACTACGACCAACGCAGCAGCACACCTCCACAACACACCGGGGTAAGGTCCTTTATACGCCGAGATCCTGGGCCCACACACCAAGCGCGACGGATCAAGGCCACTTCGCGATGAGCCGCCATTCCATTCTTCTTGACTGGGTTTGTGTCGGTCCACACCGGTGTTGGAACTCGAGTGAGGCCTGTCACCAAGAATCAGGGTCGCTTTTGGGGCTGTGCAGATGGACATCTGTCCGGCCATCGACCCGTCAGATGTGGAGGGAAACTGGCTTTCTGCAGCTTTGCCTGCCCAGGCGTTTTGTGTTCGTTTGTCATCATTTTGTGCCGAACCTACCATGTATTGCGGCATTGCAAGCTGCTGTCATGGATATGAACTCTCGTCGAATGCCAGTGACAACCTGCGTCAAGAAACGGCGTTCCTGGGCCACAATGCCCAACTTCCCACCCCCTCCACGCCTCTCGAACCCTGCATGGCAGCAGCTATGACCAGGCACATCGTCCCCAAGTCCGCTCACAAACTGAGGGATGGATGGATGGGTGTGTGGGTGGGTGGACAGGTGGTAGGGTGGGAAGACCAGCGTATGAGAATGCCTCGGCCTTCGAGACTGGCTTTTGGACCAATCCCAACGACAAGTTCTCTCACACAGTACAGCATGTACTAAGCATGTCATGCTAGGCGGGAGTCTTTCCCCAACAGAGCCAGCCAGACAGCCGGCCAGCTAGTTTAGCTAGCCGGCATCCAACATCCAGCATCCAGCAATCCAGCCACCATGGCGACGGCGGATGGGAGTCTGTCTCCAACTCGTTCCCCAAATCAGAACCTCGGCATAGCAAACCACCATGGATGCCATCAGAGCTCCCTCATGCCTGCGGAAAGTTGTTGGCCATGATCCCCAATGGAAAAAAAAAGTGTGCACACCTGACCACCCCTTGCCAACGTCGATGACCCCCCGGGCGGCAGGGTATTACCCCTGTCTACCCCAGACTTTACTCTGCGAATTGTGTCTGTTCTCGGCCCATCCACGCCTCGCAAGCATGCTCGGGAATTGGGGACAATCTGGAGCAATCTTAGTGTAGTCTCGCCGTTCACCGTCTGCCGATCCATCTCTGCTGTTCACTCGGCTATGTCGAATACGCCGACAGGTCCATGCTCTATCCTTGAACCATGGAGTATACACCACGGAATGACTCTGGAATTGGAAATCCGCTTCCTGGTGTCACCGGGGGTCGGTGGTCTCTGGCCGCCATGGGCATGTCATTTCAACTGCGCAGTTGAATAGAGCGGCAAGGCACACTGATGGCTGGCAGACAGACACACGGTTCCGCCGACGCCGCGTGCCTGCAAGCTTTATGCTGCCTATCCCGAATGCATTCTGCGTGTAACGCGAGCTGACTTTTGTGCCGGTGACGTAGGGCGCTCCAGGTTCGCCCTGGAGCTATCGACTCAGCCATCGCCGTCGGAGTCGCACTTTTGTTTCGCCCTCTGGTTTGTCAGGGCATATCCATAACCGCGTGCCATGAAGACATTAAGGGCGGCAAAAGGAAACGAAATGGACGTTTCGTCACAGCACACAGCCGCCTCCTGATTCTTCGCCGCCACGCCGAGACGAGTAAAAAAAGAAAGAAAAAAGAGCACATGAAGCACCCCGTCGGATCAAGACCTAAACGGCAGCTCTGCCGACGCGCAAGAAACAAAACTGTCATCCCAACGCCAAGGGATGGCTTCTGACGACCACCACGGAAGGACTGCCCATGAACTTTGCCGTCTCTTCCGATAACCTTCAGCCAGGACCCAGTCGCCGAGCCAGGTTGGTGCCGCAGCCGTCGCAGCGGGGCTCTGCCGAACTTCAACTTTGAAGTCGTGGTTGAAGCAGAACGACTGATCAACGCCTCAAGATGAGGTGAGGAATCTCTCAACCGCTGTTGTCCGAGACAGACGTCGGCGGGCGGAGCAGAAGCAGGCGAGCCGACTTGGTCGATGCGATGTGCTTGTCGCTCGGGAACATGGCTGGCGTCCGATGACCGGTGCTTATCCGATAGATGAATCAACTCGGGCCCATCGTCACAATGTTATGCACATCTCTTATCTCCCATCACACCACCATTCCGCTCCCACACACGGCACCGGTAGCTTGTGTAGTTTTCCAAAATGGCAAAGGCCCAGTTGCTGTTCTGCCGTGCTGCGTCACCGTATTACAACGAGGCTGCAACGCTGGCTGGCAACCAGGTTGAATATCGCAACTTGATGCTACCCTTGGCGACAAACCCGATGAGAGATCCGTCAACCTACGCATCTCTCGTTGAGCTGTATTTGCCACACCAGCTACGTCGCTTAAAACAGCGCAGTAACTCGATAGTCCTCATTTCGCCACAGGTTGCATCAAGCAAAGCGCCATGTGGAAAGTGACCAATGAACGAAACACGCGGTGGCTTCCATTGTGCCCGTTTGTTGGCCCACACACACACACACACACCCACACTTGCATAGCGAGGATGTAGTTCGTTGGCCATGCCATCCATCGTTCCGGATAATTGTTCTTTGACGTTACTAGGCAACGTCACTAGAAAGAAAGAAGGGCCCGGTGTCGTGCAGAGGGCAAAGTACGAGTAGGCCATCCCTTTCTTGATGTCGCTAGCCCAGGCCTGGCGTTTGAGACCAAGGCGGCGCCATTGGGCCCAGACGCACCACGCCAATGCTCTCGATGCTACTCTTCGTCATTGGCGGCCCACGACAAGCTGCAGAGTGCCCGTCCCTGGGACCGACTGGTTTCTCAACGTCGAGCCTAAACCACGCCACATTGAGTCAAAAAAGTGGTTGGCATCTTTTGTTGTGGCGGTTCTCTCGGAGGGTTGCGAGACTGACGATATCCCGCAGACTAGCACCTGAAGCGACGTTGCCCAGTTTCTCGTGCCCCTATGATGAGCCGCCTGAGCGGTTCACCCGCTGACGAATGGTCGCAACCACCACGCCCCTGCTTGTCGAAACGTATGTTTCTCCCAGAGCTATCAAAATCACAATCTCTGTCCGCCGCCGCCGCCGCCGGGAGTACGGGGCTGGCCGGAGCCCTCGAGCGGCCGCCTTCGGTCTCTCTTGAACCGAGTTAACGGTCGCGTCACCGGGCTGGGTGGGGAAATGGGGCGACGCCGGCCAGTCCACCAGCCCGAGAGCGTGTTCGTCGGCCCTCATTTCGGGCCTCTTCGGGCTGTCGATCGATGTCGCGCATGCTTTATTCCCGGTCAAGGTTTCTTGGGAATAGAGCATGCTCGACATCACGGCAGATCCAGTCGGTACTTTGGCGTATGTGTGTATGTGTGTATGTGTGTGTGCTGTACGGCATTTCGTATGCAGTCATGGTAGCTTGTGGCATAGTCGAGTGTGACACGAGTGAAACAAGTAAGTTCCTCCGAGCGAGCGCCCCGGGGTCCCTGTGTGTCGGCCGCTCTCGGCCTGACCTTGCATCTTGGTTCAGTTGATCTTCGGAGTTGGAAATTTGGATAACCTTCTGGATTGGCCTGGCCCATCTACGGATCGCCGTAGTGATCAGCCTGTCTGCTGGGCGAATGACGACGACGACGACGACGACGACTGCGTACGTAACGGCCGGTCGCGTGCTGTTACGCTGCTCGACGAAGCTGGCAATTGGGCAAGTTCTTTTGGGAAGTTGGAAAATGGTATCATGGGCTGCATTTCGGAGTTGCCGCTTCGTAACCTCGTCGTGGCCAGGTCTCACGGGGACGGGCGGTTAACATCAGCGCAGCCAAAGGATACCGTGACTTATTCGAACCCTGGGCCAGACTCTCACAATGGTACGAAACACGCCAAAGTGTTTGTCACGATAAGCTCTATTCCGATTCAATCAAAACGCAGGGTGATTTCCGCTTGAGCCTGGTGAGACACAAGTACGGCCATGTGCCACTGCCTATCAAACACCGGCTTCTGAATCCGCAGGCGTTGGTCCCTTCACTGTAAGACTTTGCGTTGCATTCTTGGAATGCGCCGTTTGTCTTACAACGGTCCCGAATTAAAATACATCTCTAACTGTAAATGTCCATCCTCCAAGTGTCTACCTGGAGACGAGCTACTCGACGTGCGGCCAACGCTGTTACGTCACTTATAACATCCGCAGCCACCTTTTCTCCCCTCCCTCAAACTCCATACACCAATCAATCAATGACGCTCTAGGAAATGAAAAGCAATATCCCACCGTGTTGCCCGGGGCTCACGAGCTCTTCCTGGCGTGAATCCGCTCGTGCCGCCGGCAGTCGTTCAGTCTCGCAAAGGCCTTGCCGCAGTTGGGGCAGGCGTAGGGCCGCTCGCCAAAGTGGCTCCGCTCGTGGCCCTTGAGGTTGATGTTGCGGGTGAAGGTCTTGGGGCACATCTTGCAGCGGAAGCGGGCGGTCTCGACGCGGCGGCTCAGCTGCAAGAAGGCCGAGGGGGCGTCGCTCAGCTCCGGATGGTAGTTGCGGACGTGGCGCTCGCGGTCCTTGTTGGAGGAGAAGCCGACGGGGGCGAAGCCGCACGTGTCGACGGGGCAGCGGTAGGGCCGCTCGTGGCGGCTGAGGTGGGCCTCGCGGTCGCGGCGGGCGTCGAAGCCCTGGTGGAAGAATCTGCAGAGGAGGCGCTGGCACTTGAAGATGTTGGGGCCGTAGTACTGCTCCATGGTGTCGGCGCCGCCGCCGGCGCGGGAGGTCGGGCGGAAGTCCTTCTCGATGGCGTCGCGGTGGAGCTGGACGGCGGCCTCGAGGCGGGGGAGGCCAATCCTGTTGCGCTCGTCGATGGGCGACGTCTGGTGCGCGTAGATGTGGTTCCAGACCCGGAAGAGGGCCGGGTAGAAGGGGAGCGAGGCGTAGGCGGCGAGGTCGTCGAGGGGGAGGCTCGGGTGCGGCGGGGAGTGGGGGCGCAGGTCCGCGTCGTAGGCGGCCGCGAAGCGCGCGAGGGCGGAAGCGAACTCCCTGGCGTGGTCGTCCCGTTGAGTCTGCTCTGCCGCCGCGTCGAATACGAGGGTGTTATGTGGATTTTGATATTGGACGTTGTGAGAGGAGGCGAAGGACGTGGAGCAGCAGGAGGAGGAGGAGGAGGGCGGAGGAGGGGGGGGAGGAGGGAGAAAGACGGCCTTGCAGGATGTGATGACGCTGGCGACGTGACTGTACCACTGCGATACTGCGTAGTCTTGGAAGGAGAAGTAGCCCAGGGGGATGTGCTCGAGCCGCTCGGCCTCGGTGTAGTCCTCGGCGGCGAAGCATCGGAGGGAGAGGTACCGGAGGCAGATGGTCGCGAGGTCGCACTGGACTAACTCTGCGTTGATATGTTCCGTGTCGACGAGGTGCCTGGTAGCGACGAGTCAACACACGCTTTTGTCTTCTTGTTACAAACAGGCTGCCCTCATCAGCCTGCATGATAGGGACGCCTGCAAGTAGGCACACGGAGGCATGATGAAGGCAAACAGGGGAAGAAACACAAGAGAGGGGAGCACATACTTCTTGGCGGTGGAATGGATCAGCCTGATGTTATCCCCTGGCAAGACCTGGACGAGAGAGCCGAGGAAGTCGGCCACATTCTCGGTGCGGATCATGTTCAGGTCAAAGTCGACCGTGTCCCGCGCGCGGTCGAAGGCGAGGATGGCCTGGATCTCGTGCCACTTCAGGGTCCGGTGGGCGCAGACGAGGAACCCGAGGAGTAGCTTCGCCTTGGCCCAGTGGTTGCTTGATAGCCTGGTGAGGTTGTCCTTGAGAGTGCCGAGGAGGGTGTCGTATCTGAGGAGTCTGGTCAGCCAGGGGGGGGGTTTGAGGCGGTTGATGGGCCGGGTGAGAGAGACACGACGACAAGGGTTAGGGTGGCTGAAGGAGAATGTGGCAGAAGGGGGTATGGAGACGCAAGACAACGTTGGACGGGAAAGATATTGAGAGATAGGAGATACTGATAAATTGGGGGGGGGGGGGGGGGGGGTATGGAGCATACAACTTGGATATGGTGTCTGGAAGCATTCCCGGCCTGACTCTCTCGAGCAGTTCTCCCTTGGTCAACTGCTTGACGAGGTATTCCATGGCGAGCTCAGCATACAAAAACAGCCCTGTGGTTCTCGAAAGTCAGTCCTGGGAGGGTCACAGACGGGGGGCCGCCACGCCACGCATCCTCCGCCCTAGTTGTGCCCACACTCACCTTCACTCTGTGCCGTGACCTGGTCCTCAATGTCCTGCACGTTGTCGTCCGACAGGTTGAAGGAGCGGCCCGCCTTGAGAAGCTCCTCGGGCGCCAGCCTCTTTCGGACGTAGGCACGGATGTCCTGCGCGTTGTCACTCCGCGCGTCCAGCTCGACCTCACGGCCCGCCTCGCCGGGGACGCCGTGCTTGGCCATGACGCGCCGGACGTCGACCGTCGCCTGGCTCGTGAACAGCACGCGCAGCGAGCCCTGGCTGGTGTCCTCGCGCCGCCCCACCTGCGCCGTGAGGAACCCGACCGCCTGCTGGACCTCGGTCGTCGCGGCGCACTCGTCGAGGCCGTCGACGACGAGGTACTGCCGCGGGTTGATGTCGAAGAAGGCCTCGAGGAGGGGGAGCACGGCCTCGGGGGAGCTGAGGGAGGAGCCGCCGCTGTTGGCGATCTTGTCGGCGCACAGCGGGAGGATCGCGGCGTTGTTGTTCCTGCCGACAGCGCCGCGGTCGTCGTCGTCGCCGGCGGAATCGGGGTCCAGGACCTCGGCGGCGGACACGAACTGGTGGAGGATGCCGCGGAGGATGCCCAGGTACGTGGACATGTCCTGGTCGCCCTCCTGGCAGTAAAAGTAGGCGACCTGCGCGTCCTCTGGTATCCTGCCCTCGCGGGCCAGCTCCCGCAGGCGGACGACGACGAGCGAGGCCAGGATCGTCTTGCCCATGCCCCGCGGGCCGTGGACCCAGAGCGTCGAGTCGCGGGGCGGGTCCTCGCGCATCCAGTTGGACACGGCGTCGTAGCGCTTGTAGAGCCAGCGGCCGCTGTCCGGGCACAGGGCCCGCGTCCGGACGAAGCTCTCGTGGAGCGTCTCCGTCTTGTTGGGCGCGGCGATCCACTTGAGGATCTTGGTCTTCTGTTCGGTCCTCCGGTCCTGCTCGGCGCGTTGGAAGCGCCTCCAGGCGGCGGCGTAGGCGGCCTCGTACTCCTGGCGGCCGCGGCGGAGGTCGGCCGCGGCGTCGTTGGCGTAGGTGCTCGGCGTCGGAGGGGACGCGAAGCCCGAGTCGACGCTGCCGAGGCCGCGGCGGCCGTGGGCTCGGATGAAACCTGCGTGGAGCCCGAGGGTTTCCTCGAGGTGGGCAAAGGTCGTCTCGAGGTCTTTCCACGATGCCCTGTGTAGCTTGGTCCATACTGCGCGTGCCTTGTCAGTGCCCGGGGCGTCCCGGGAGGGTGATTACGCGATGATGCAAGATGGCCGGCGCACTTACACGTCGTGCGGAGGGAGAAGAGCTTGTATGCCAGCCTGTGGAACTCGAGGACGTCGCGGTAGAGGTGCAACAAGCACGTCTTTGCGTCATGCGAGCCGGCGAAGAACCGTCTGTACTGGTTAAGGGGCGGGATCTCGGCCCCTAGTCGTTGGTAGGCCTCGAGCATGTGGTCAAACGCCTTGTCGTTGATGTTTGTGGTCTGGTGCGGGATGGTGTCAGCCAAATACTCAAAGAACTCGTCCACGAACGAGAGCCATGCCTTAACGGCATGTAGGTTTTACGACACAAGGGGGGGGGGGGGCACGCACGTTCAACAGAAACCTCATCGGGCCCCAGACGCACGCCATGATGTTTACTGCTCTGGAGGGTTCCAGCTCGCTGAGAACCTCCTGCAAGCCATCCATACCCTCGAGGAACATCTGGATCCTGCTGAGGTTCATCATCGTCCTCTTCTCCTGCTGCTGGGACTGGATGGTATGGAGGTCAGCGTAGACGCCATGGCTGGTCGCCTTTTCGAAACTCGCAACGTGCTTGGTGTCCAGAATGGCCTTGAATGCATCGGCGCTTTGGGTGAGTGCGTCACCGAGGTCGTCGTGCAAGTCCGGCCTCATGGCGGCGTCGCCGAAGCTCTGAGCCATGGCTCGTTGCAGGAACTCCGGGCCCAAACACACCGGGCACGGCGCGGGGGGGGGGGGGGGGGACCGGGATCCGGCGCTACAGGTTTGGTTAAAGGTGGCTATTAGGGGGGGGGGATTTCGCAGATCGCCGGCAGCACGGCCAGACCACAACGAAAGCAAACAGAACAAGAAGACGAAGTTCAGTCACGAAAGAGGCGAGCAGTGAATTGCAGAGAGATGGCCAGGAAACGAACGAGAGACATTCAGTTTCGAGAGAATGAAGACGATATGAGAAAGAAAGAAAAGAGGAAAAAGAGGGAACGTTATCCACTTGATGACTTGCATTTGCAGTTGGTCGATAATAACTGAGGCTGATGTTCTCCTCTCTCACTCTCTCACTCTCTCATACACACACACACACACACACACACACACACATGCATACACACATGCATACAACTCTCTCTCTCTCTCTATAGCTCACTCATCGCAGCAAATCACAGCAAAAGAGGCAGCCAGGCGTCAGTCGGATCACCATTCCACCCCCGGTCAAGCAACCCCTGCACACACGAGCCAGCACCCCTGAGCTGGCTGGACACTTGTTGGACAGGAACGCCAATAGAAATGCCATCGTCTTGGCCCGCCTGGCGGACCAGGGGGCCATGAGGGGCATAGACGGCAGAGGCAGAGGCAGAGGCGCTAGGCCGTCCATGCACTGCCACTGCCACACCTTTTTCTGCATTCCGCTCCATTCTTCCTATTCTCTCTCGTTTCTGTGAGACACGAGGAGTGGAACGTGCTGTAGCGTTGTTATTTTTGTCGTTTTTTTCTTTCTTTCTTTCTTTCCATCGCGGTTCTACGTGTCTCAACTCTGTCTGCCTTTGTATCTATCCATCTATCTGTCTGCCTCTGCGTTGTCATGTCCCGTCTTCGGTCCGTCTCCTCGCCCACACAAAGCCACCACTCGACCCGACTTGCATTGTGCTTGCATCGAGCCACCGACGGTCTACCAAACGTTTCTTTGTGGGCTCCGCGTCCCTTCGGGCCCCTCGTGGTTTGTTTGGCCTTGTCAAGGGGGAGGCCTCGCTTCCCACGCGGACGCCTTGTGAGGGGATGTACAGGGTCTTGTTTCTTTGACTTTGTTTCTGCAGCGGGCCCCCTTCTGGGGGCTGGCGAGCCTGTCTGCCGCTGATCCGCTGATCCGTTTCGTCTACTTCACCTCTTCAGGCCCCTTCGTCCAGTAGACAGCATAGGTTATGCCTATTCGGTTATGTGTTGCGAAGTGGGTGAGTCTGCCGTCTATGTTTATCCATTCGTCTATGTTTACCTCGACCGCAGACCGTGCGCGCTGTGCTATGCCCTGCCATGATTTATGCCGTGCCATGATTTATGCCGTGCCATGTTTTGTGCCGTGCCATGTTCTATGCCGTGCCGTGTTGCGCCGTGCCGAGCTGTGCCGTGCCGTCTCTCTAGATAGTGCCCGCAATGTCACATAATCGCAACAGAAGACTAAAGAAGACTAGCAGATCGTGGAGAGAGTCGTAAACTGTTTCCGTGAAACGATGGTCGACGTGCGTCATCTGCCAACAGAGCACGCTACGGGACAAGCTTGCGAGAATAAGCATCGGTCCGTGAGCGTTTCCCCCATGATATGACCTCATTTTGGTTTAGTGAGGCTCTTTGGTGGCTTGCCCGGAGGACTCCGACCTCTCGCGAGGGCGGAGCATCCGTCGGTGAGCCGGGGTGTCGGGACTTCTTCGATGGCTTCGGGGGCGGTGCAAAAAGCGGGTGCGGCATCCAACCAAGCAAAACTAAACCCTACAGACAGACCGCTCCCGAAACCCCCAGACGGGGACGCAGGTAAAGTGGAAAATGGGCACTCACTATTATCGATTGTAGTGTGCATACGCCAGCTGGTGGGGGCCGTAGGCTTCGGCGATATGCGAACCACCAACGGGACGGACGCACGACTTTTGCCAATATCATCGTCCGCGCACTGCGCCCCGGGGGCACAAGGGCATAAGGTAAAGGGGGGAGGGGAGGGGAGCAGACTCGAAAGAGAGATAAAGTTGCACATCAAAATGGTCGCCTTTCCTGTGTCTCACACCACCGGCCATTGGGTTGACAAAACTGGTTCGCCAGAAGCCTTTTCTCTCTTATCCCCTCTCGCCATCTCTCTGGCCGCTGAGCCTCATTATGTGCCTCAACCACTTGCTGCTTGAGCACAACCTTGGTTCCAAGATTACGAGACAACTTGAAGGTCCCCGTCGAAGCTTATAGTAGCCGTTCGGTCAGAATCAGCAAGGACAACCACGAACGACGGCATCTTTGGACTCGGTTTTGACATACACACACAGAGACATATACCGTATACGGATCCACAGACTTACAGACATACAGACGCTGATCGACAAGTGAGACACGCAGCCACCCTCCACAATGGCTTCGCTGAAGAGGCTTCTCAACGAGGAGGACGAGGAGCTCCACTACCCTGACCTGTCGTCCGTGTCCTCCTATGGCTCCATCCCCTCTCCGTACCAGGCCGAACAAGATTATACCGGACACCAGCCGCGCCAGATCCAGTTCCAGGGTCTGGACATGTCCCAAGAAACAAACGGCTTAGAAAACCCCGCTTCCATGAACGAAGACTACAACACGCTATTTCCGTATACTGATAGCAGTCAACTCGAGCCCATCAACTTCGGAGACCGGCCCGGCGCGGTGCCTTTTGATTTCGGACAGGAGTTGCTGATTTGGGGCCGGAACATCATCGCCGCAACCCCGGCATCCCACACGTACAGCTCCCCCCAGCCGTCCCCTGGGTCATCGCAAGACTCCCAACCCCTGACGCATTCGCCTTGGCTCATACCCGGCTGCAGTAGTATCGCCGGCTCGGACACGTCTTTCTCTGCAGGAGATGATGAGACCGAAATAGTTTGCTATGGAATGGTCAGTTGCATCTCTTCCTTGACTCTCTTCGCACCCTGTCTTCTTTTTCCTCCTTTCTCTTGATGGAATTCCCAAACACAGACTCATACCCGAGTAGCTCTACAATGTAGACGTCAAGTTGGTGGGGGACATGGGCGTCTTCGACACCAAGATCCGTGATACCCACCAAAGAGAATCGATGCACGCGCCGCCCGGGCAGACGCCCTGCCAGCGCTTCACCCTCAGCGAGAACCGGGATCACGTCGTCCTCGTCTTCAGAGACGACCCGGATGCCACCGAGTTCGGATACCTCCGCTCTGGCCCCGGCAAGACCCTCGCGAGGCTCCTGGCCCAAGAAGGCCTCGAGTTCGACTCCGTCGCCCAGACCACCACCCTCCGTGAGACCATCGGCCGCGCCAAGAAGCCCGTCGAGGCCATGGTCAAGGTCGACATTAACATCTACGGGCCGCGCAGCAGGGCCCATGAGACCGGCAAGACGCTCTCCGAGGGCAAGCTGTACCTGCAGATGCCGGACCACGCACGCAGCGGGCTCCCCTACGAAAACCCGCACATGCTGCGCATCAAGGATGCCGAGCATATGGTCACGGAGGCCGCGAGGGGCGTCAACAGCCGCGCACCCACGGGGCGGCAGCCGCGCGAGGAGAGGTTGCGGGACATGATGCTAGAGGTCTACCAATCGATACAGAACAAGCGGCATCTTCGCCGGGAAGACGGTGCCAAGGGGCTCAAGCACGAGCTGCAGGAGTAAGTCCGCGTCATCGGCCTGCTCAAAAGACATCAAGGCGGAGAGGGAAACTAATGCGTTCCCTAGGCACCAAAAACAGGCGCTTGCGTTTATGCTCGAAAGGGAATCCGGCCACATCGTCGACTCGGCCTATCGCCTCTGGCAACCCGTCGTGGAGGAAGGCCAGGAATGGTAAGGCTTTTTGTTCCTGTAAAAATACCGAGTTCTATGCTGAACGGTGTCAGGTTCCGCCACAAGATCACAAACATCAAACAGAAAACCCAGCCGGACGAGAAAGGCGGCGGTATCCTGGCCGACGAGATGGGCATGGGCAAATCTCTGTCTATTCTCTCGTTGATCGTGACTACCCTCCCGAACGGACAGGAATGGGCCCAGCAGGAAGAGCAGAACAACGAAAAGAGCAGGGAGCTATGCTGCTCCGGCTCGACCCTGGTGGTCGTGTCGTCTGCTCGTGAGTGACAAGCCCCTTTCGCAGCACTGCTACATGACTGACGCAATCAAGTTCTCATCTATGAGTGGAATAACGAGATCGCAAAGTGAGTAAAAGTCCGGTTCTTATATCAAGCCTGGCGGGATTTTCTGACGTTTGCCAGGCATGTGGAAGGAAAACTAAATCAGATCGTATACCACGGCCCCAAACGTGAAAAGGACATTGACAAGATCAAGAACTCCAACATAGTTGTGACCACATACAACACCTTGGCGGCCGAATACGACAAAAAGTCATCACCCCTTCACAAGATTGGATGGTACCGAGTGGTACTTGACGAAGGTGAGTCCCCCCCCCCCCCCCCCCAGTATCCCACGACCGAGGACGACAACCGGAACTGATCGTTTTCGCCCAGCCCACGTCATCCGCCGCCCGGCCACGACATTCTTCTCGTCTTGCAGAGCTCTTCACGCCAAATCCCGCTGGTGTCTCACCGGCACCCCGATCCAGAACAAGCTGGCCGACATAGGCGCCCTTTTCGCTTTCATCCGTGCGAAGCCCTTTGACGAGCCCGCCATGTTCCGCAGATACATCGAGGTGCCCTTCGAGCAGCATGGCGACCCCGAGAAGGTCAAAGACCGCCTCATCATGCTCCTCGACTCCCTCTGCCTGCGCCGCACCAAGGAGATCTTGGAGCTCCCCGGTCTCGAGGAGCGCGTCAAGGAGCTCGAGTTCACGCCGGCCGAGCGCGAGCAGTACGACAAGACCAAGAAGATACTCATGCGGACCATCAAGCAAAAGGTCGGCGAGGTCGAGAAGAGCTCCAAGTTCGGGCTGTTCCAAGCCAACCTGCAGCTGCGCATCCTGTGCAACCACGGCACCTACCAGAAGCCCTTCTCCTGGTCCCGCAGGAGCTACCGAATGAACCGGCTCGAGGAGCGCGAGGCCGCCGTCTCGGCGCTCGGCCAGAACGCCGAGATCACCTGCAACGGCTGCAAACTGCCCATGCCCATCCTCGGGTCGAGCAGGCTGCGCAACGGGGCCGAAGAGCAGTGCCAGCACGTACTCTGCTCCGAGTGCCTCGACGAGTCCGACATGTCAGCGCCCGGGTCGCGCACGCGACACTGCCCCATGTGCAAGTTCGACGGGCCCTCAGCGTCGGGCGGCGATGTTGCCATGGCCGATGCGCCCGCCAAGACGTCCGCGGACAAGGACGACGAGCTGTACTTTAACCAGGAGGGGTATTCCACCAAGATGGATGCGCTGATACGGGATGTCGAGGAGGATGTCTGGAAGACGAAGAGGTATGTAACAATCGACAGCGCCGTTTCATCATTTTGTTCTATTTTGTCCCAGGCTGCGGCATGTCTCTGACTGAACTAGCATCGTCTTTTCTTGCTGGACGAGAACGCTGCATCTGGTTGGCATGCACCTAGAGAGAGCCGGCGTCAGGTTCGCGATGATCGACGGCAACTGTCCCCTGTCGGAGAGACAAAAGATGCTCGAGAAGTTCGCAAAGGATGGTGACCTGCGGGTGCTCATCATGACAACCGGCACCGGGGCCTTTGGGTGAGTCTCGAGTTCGATCCCTCCGCTCGCTGTCTCGTGAAGGGCACGCATTCTGACATTGTTCGCCTCTCATGCACAGCCTCAATCTCACTTGCGCCAACCGCGTCTTCATCGTCGAGCTTCAGTGGAACCCCAGCGTCGAGAACCAGGCGATCGCTCGCGCCATCCGGTTCGGCCAGGACCAAAAGGTCCTCGTCACAAGATATGTCATCAAGGGCACTGTCGAAGAGGTATTTGTTCCACGGTCTACGTTTATTGAAGGGTGTCTTTTTCTTTTTTTCCCCTCCCCCCGCTGACTGACTTGGTATAGGAGATGAGGTCGCAGCAAAACGTCAAGAAGAACCTTGCTGCGATTGGCTTCGACGAGTAGGTTTACCACGCGGACGCGATGGATCAGTCGCACAGGTAGACTTGGGGATGGATGGATTTGCACGATTCACTTGGAGTTCAGGGACTGGGAGCGGTGGCTATTTCGAAGGGGAAAAAGTTCGTCTACTATGGCGGCAGCGTCGTCACGATGCTGGCATCCTCGTGTCACTATTTGTTTGAAGTCCGGACTTTGGCTAGATTTCCGTCACTTCTCTAATACCCCAATCGCATCTTTTTTCTTTCTTTTTCTCTCTGCTTCAGAGACGACCCTCTATGAGATCTAGAGTCTGAGACGTGTCAAGCCTGCCGGACAACCTGAATTGCCTGAATAAGAAGAGCTGGAAACGACACGGAAAGGCAGACAAGCAATCTCAACTACAATCCGGATCACACAACCTTCACGCAAGGAGACAGCCTAGTAGTCTGCCTATCCGCCCTGTTTGGATAGCCTGCATATCTAGACTGGTTGCCTTCCTGCAAAGCTCCGCCTCACAGCATGCTCCGCCCCCCTGTTGCTCGTCTGTCAGCACACAAATCCTCTTGGCCGGCTTTACAAGGCAGATCTTATTGCAACACTATCACTTTGTTTTTGTCGTTTTTTTTTTCAATCTCACGGTCTGCTCTGTAAGAATCTCTTCTTAGCCTCTAGCAGTTTCATCGTAACCAAAGGCAGCGGTGATGAGATGGCAGCAATATCCCCTCTAACAGTACAGCTCGCAAGGCGACCCCGGCCCGAGTCGGATGACGGAGATGTGTACCCCAGCCCGAAGAGAACCCGGAAGAGTAGTACTGATGAGGTGTGTTGTCTTTGATGCCAGTTACTGCTCACGGATGACGGCCTGAAAGACCTCAACTCGCATCGAGGGCTCCGGCATTCTTCCTATGCCGATTGCTGCGCATCGGCAATGAATGGCTGTGAAATATGCCTCTTCATCATCATCGCCATTGAGAAGAAGAGAACGCATGAATGGGACCCCGATGATGTTCTGATATTTCGGAATCGTCCTTCCAAAACACGTCCTGGTACTACGCCTTTAGGTATAGATGTTTTGGAAGGCAGTCTTTCTTCCGGGGCAGCTTTCATAAGCATCCACCCATACGCTGAGCAAGGTGAGCGACTGCAACTGGATACGGGACCATCTTCAACATGTACTGTAGGAAACCCCGCCGCCGGTGTGATACGTCGGAGGCCGCTTCAGAGAGACGTAAAAAGCAAAAGAGTGATTTCGGCTGCTCGAGGACTATACAAGGAGTGCAAAGAGTCTCACAAGCTCTGCCGCTATGCACGAGACACAGTCCTTCCCTCCCGGGTTCTCGACCTCGGTACAGCCGAAGCCCCGACCCTGAGGCTCTACGTCAACAACACCGGGGAGCACGGGGAGTACGTCGCACTCAGCTACTGTTGGGGCGGGCAACAGCAAGGCCTCCTGAGAAGGAGAACGCTGAGCAACATGGAGAATGCTATCAGGCTTAAAAGCCTGCAGTCCACTGTGCGAGACGCAATCGAGGCGACGAGAAAGCTGGGGTTCAGGTATCTCTGGGTCGATGCGCTGTGCATCATCCAGGATTGCGATATGGACAAGGACAAGGAGATTGCGAAGATGGCCATGATTTACAAGAACGCAGCCGTGACCATCGCCGCCGGGACAGCGGAAAAGGCGGCAGACGGGTTTCTTAACATGGAGCTCACGTACCTTCCGAAGGACAAGTTCGATGTTCCAATGCCCGGCGGAGGCAAGGGAACTGTGCATCTCAGAGCCGAGGCACACGTCCCTGAGCACGCACTGGACGAGCGAGGGTGGGCGCTGCAAGAGTTTCTCCTGTCGTCGAGGATGCTCATCTTCTCCGAGTACGAGTTGCTGTGGCAGTGCAAGGAGGTGGAGTTGCGCGGCGTCTCGGGTACCGGCCTCGAGTATCTGCAACCCCAAGAGAACCTCCCGTGGTCTGTTTTCGACGAGGAAACGGAGTCCATATTCGGGGACGAAGACCTAGAGAAGCGCTATACCTGGAGGACTATCGTCGAGCAGTACACCCTCCGCCAGCTGGGCTTCAAAGACGATCGGCTGAACGCGCTCAGGGGGACTACGAGGGAACTGGAAACGCTGTGGCGGGACACTCACCGGTTTGGGTTGTGGACGAAGTGGTCCGTCGAGCTGCTTGCTTGGTCAAAGAGGGACTGCGACGGAGACGATGAGACAAAGGAGACATCGCGCGAGGGCAGGGCGCCAACCTGGTCTTGGGCGTCGGTGAACGGGAGGATCCGGTTCACGCAGATGTTTGAGAGGGAAGATGCGGTCTTCCAGCAGGTGACTTTGTTGGAGGCACGGGTGTCGCGGCGTGTCGTCCTCAGGTGCAGGATCGTTGCTGAAGATCACGTCGACCCTGAGATTTTTGAGGACGACGAAAGTGACAAAGGCCGGGCAGAGACGTGCTACGACATGGATGACAGTATAGACGAGGTGGGAAATAGGCCTATGAACTTCCTGCTTTTGGGGACCACTAGAGAAGAGGGGAAACGTTTGGGCGTTGCAACCATGGTTGTCGAAGTTTTGGGAGGCTTATTCCAAAGGGTCGGGTTGGCAATTTTCGAAAACATTGATGTCTGGAAGGATAGTGAGTATCGGAGCATCACGCTTCAGTAGACATATACTGCGGCAACTGATGTCTGGGGCGCAACTTGCCATCTTCCACGTCGCATTACTTTACTGGATTTCTTCAAGTGGTTATAAGTAAGGGCGGACAGGCGCCATGACTACAAGTCTGATCTATCCGAGTTTGTTTGGTCGCAGAGACATGTTGATGTATGTTGTTCAATAGCCACCTTGTCATGGCCGATAGCATTATAGTCCAGTCGACACGCAGGTTTATCAATGCTCGCTACGATCCATGCGTCGACCAAACGAGAAAAACCTTCCATCATTCAAGATTCGAAGGGTTCAAAGGTCCAGTTTGAAAGAGCCACCGCTCCATACGCCAAGTCAACATCAAACCTGATCGGAAAATATATGCCTAGAAACGCTGCCAGATGCACCAAAAAAAGAGCTCATTCAGCCCACCCATTTTTCTATTTCATATCTTTGTTACCAGAACATCGCCGCCAACAACAGAGCCAATATCGTGGCAAGCATGCTGCGACCTGTTGCAGGTGCCGCTGACACTGTGCCTGCTGCTGGGACCTCCGACATCTTGGGTGTCGGACTACTAGGAAGAGTTGATCCCGTGCCCGGGACTTGGTCTGAACCGGAACTCGAGCTCGGCGAGTTGGTGGTACCGTTGGCGGCCGGCAACGAGCCACCCGGCCCGGTAGAACTGGGGCATAGACCCTGGATGGCCGCAATGTCTTGGGGCCGGCTGATGGGCATCGTCCTTGTGCCGCAGTTGGTGTACTGCGCCAAGTATGCGACCTTGCTGTCGAGATCGAACACGGCTGTGAGAGGGGTTAGCATCGGGCTCTCCTAGAAGAAGCAGGGATGGTAATGAACGTACTGTAAGCTGAGCGCAGAAAGGTGTCGCCCAGCAGTGTGAAGTCGGCGTTCGGGACGATGCCTAAATAACAAGTCGGCGGGGTTGTGCGTAGCTCGCGGATCATCTCCTTGTAAGGAACTCGGATCTTCATCCCGTTAAAGTCGAAGTCTACGGTGCCGCTCAGACCAACGAGATTGCATGAGACCGGATAGAAGCCGTTGGCGTCGACCCCCGAAGAACCAAAATCGGCAGCGATCATGTTGGCGAGCTCCTCGGGGAGAAGAGTGAGGGTGGCGCCGCTGTCAAGGAAGACGGGCATCGAGCTATTGGGGTAGAAACGGGTGCGGCGGCTTGGCGGTGTGAGACTGAGAGATTGCATGTTCACCCAGTACCGGGCGACGCCGTCCGGGGCCTCGTCCGCCGGTATAATGGGCAAGCGTGCGAGGGGACCGGAAAACTTGGAGGTGTCGATGCCGCCAAAGATGATGGCGCCTTCTTGCTCATCCTTGGAGCCCAGCCCGAGGCTGAACGCCTTGGTGCGGGTGACGCCCTGGGCGGCGAGCTCGTCGATGAGGTTCTTGTACCGGGTGTTGACACCTTCCCCGAAGCCAATGCCGAGGATGCCTGCGAACTGGTCCTCCGAGCTGGTGGCGACACCGAATTGGACTTGGCGCATCGTGGAGCTGGACCCGGCGAGGGCGAGACTGTCGCGCACATACGAGATGTTAGCGGCACCGATACCGTATCGGAGCGTCTTGGTCGTCTGCATCTGGACGGCGGTGGTTGAGCGGGCGGAGTCGTAGAAACCGACGGCTTGGCAAAAACGCTGATCGGAGGCGTCGAGGACGGTGCAGTCCGGGTTAACCCAGAGCTCAAAAGAGCCGGTGTCAAGCTGAGCATACACCGCTTGGGGAGGTGTGCCGATGTTGACTGAGAAGGAGGGGTGGTTAGCGGAAGATGTGCGTACGGATGCGAGCATGGTGTATGTAGTATGGGGATTCAAACTTACGCTGGGCGTAGTATGCGACATCAGAACGGTTGGCAAGCTTCGCCTCGACCTGTCGACCAAAAACACCACGCTTCGTGGAGTGGAGAACGGGCAGCGTAACAAAAGCGCCGTTTGCCTCGGCACCGTCGACGACGGGCAGGCCGCGCATCGAAACCGGAGGCACGACCACCGGGGCGGCGGGCAGAGGCCTCAGATCACTATCCAGAATGTCGTCGAGCAGGACCTTGCGCGGTGAGCGTGTGCGCCGTTTCCTCCTCTGATGCGAAATCACCGGCAGCGTCATCATCATGGATGTTTCGGCATCTTCGTCGGCGGGGAGAGACAGCCCGCGCGGGGCGACATGGGTTGTGTCTTGCGTGGTATAAGGAATGACGGGGAGCGTCATGAGGGAGGTGAAGTCGCCATCGTCTGTCGGTAGTTGGGGCCATGCCCGGGCACCTGTGAGTAGCGATAAAGCTAGGAAGGCGTAGGAAAGGAGCGCCATGCCCGGCGCTGAAGAGGATAATGCGTGCTACCGCGGTTGCCGCCACATGGGAACCGTCTGAATGTGAGTTTGCTTGAGCGGATTGGTGGTGAGCGCGCGCGACTCGAGATGATGGCGAGAGTAGATCGTGATCGGACCCGGTTGAAGTTTGGAATTGCACCAGGAGAGCGGTCAATTAACAAGTATACAGGTTTCGAACCGGACAACCAAGATTGAGCAAGAGATAGAGAGAAATGAAGACGATCCCGAGAAAGAATGTAAAACAGCAAGCGGCTGGCGATCAGCTGTCAGCGCTGCGACGAACCCACCGGGAGTGTAATCGAAGAGAAGAGAAAAGGCCCTTTCCAGACGGCAGACGCAAC